AACAATGGATAAATATTCGGAGAGTAAGAAATTTTACATCAATAGGTACTTTCTAGGATTGAAAAGAGCGTTTTTAAAGATAAAACTGCGGAACGGAAAACTTCCCAAAAAACCTCAAAAAGTAGGGGGAACCAAATTTTTTTCGAAACGGTCAACCTCAAAAAGATTCATAGAAGCTATATAAGTGCGTCTCTGTAGATGCAAAAGTGCTTAGCACGTGTTAAGCCTGCAACTATAGGTGTTTTTTGGGGCAAACAATTGAGTTTTCCTGGGACAAACACGTAGTCACGTAAAAAATTCAAATTTGGTCGAAAAAGCAGGCGGAAGCAATTATTTTTGGTTCGGTTGCCTTTCTAAGGATCTGCAGAAACGACTTAAAAGTGTCTCTGGATGTGCCAAATGTCTCAGAATATTTTTCGAGGGGCTTTCCAGGGTTGTAAAACAGTATTTTGAAAGAAACACGCAGGTACGAAAAAGATTCAAAATTCGTCCAAAAAGCAAGAAGAACCAACAATTTTTGGTTTAAAATCCTTCTTAAGGATTCATAGAGACTACTTAAGCACGTTTTTGGAGGTGTCGCATGCCTCAAAAAAGTTTAAGACAACTACAGATTGATCGATGGCTAAACTTGCTAAATACCGTTATTTTAGCCACCGACTTAGAGACCTAGTAAATTCGATTTCTCGAGAAAAAGCAAACCAAAGCACGAAATATTTCTACTGTAGCTTCCCAAGGATGTGTAGAAGCTCCCTAAAGGTGTCTCATTAGGTGACCTTCGGTGACTTTTTTTAAAAATGAAAGTTCGTGGGAAAAATCGGCATTTTTTTATGAAGAATAGGTATCCAACTTCTACCTTGTGTGGGATGTGTCAGAATGCCTCGGAGAAAAATTGTAATTAGTGCGTTACAATCCTCTTAGAGTCCTCTACAAAATGGTATAAGCAAGAATTCTGAGAGACCATTTCATGATTCAGGAGAGGCTCCGAACGCTTTGTTAGAAATAGCCACTTCACGGGTCAGAAAATACGTATCCGACTATTTGCACAGTTTGTGACACTTTCAAAGTGACTAGAAATTTTTTTGAGGTATACTGCGTGTAGTTTATGACCCGTAGATACTATATTTATCAATTTTGACTTGAAAAAAAAATGTCGTCCAATTTCATAAACATCGATTTTTGAGCGCTCCCGAGCGGATTGGGACCATAGTGCGGCACCGAGATATTACGATTAAAGCGCGCACTGTAGTGAACTAGCAATGCGTGAAGTATTCCTGCCTCCTTGTAGGCGCTACTGTGCGCGTCGTGTCGACCAGCGACCGGACTGCATGTTTGGTGCAATGCGTGAAGTATTCCTGCAGTCTCGTAGGCGCCCATATTGTGCGTTTCGCTCCGGCGACCGGCGGCCGCACTATGTTTTGCGAGATTAGAAACGATGATACAGCATTAGATTTGGAAGAAGCTAATGAAAAAAAGAAAAGATAAATCCGTGACATTTTCAAAAAAATTACGTTCAGTAGTTTTCCATGCAGAAAATGAAGTATGACAGTAAGTCTGCAACGCCGCAAACTGAGATACGCATTTCTGCAGGTGCACCATTGTTAAAGCGCAAATCCCTGACTCAAGCAAGAACGCCATTGTGATCTCTCTGGCTCCCCTGCTGACTGATTGTTGATATTGATAGACAACGCAATAGACAAAGAAGACAAGAGGGGTATGGAGCTATCTTATCGGTTGAAATGGGTGGTTAGTATAGACGAATGCGAAGGGAGAAAAATCATGGAGTGACCAAAAGGTTTCTCGCGGATTGCCGTCAGTCAGTCTGATATTTACCTGTTTTGTCTATTGCAACCACCCGCTTCCATCAACAGGGTCTCTCCACATCCTTGTTGTCTTCTTTGTCTATAGCTTTGTATACCAATTTCAAGAATCAACCCGCAGGTCCCTGGACAGTGGGACGGAAATCCACGTAAATACCGTGGATCCGGGCCGAGGAGGGTGGGGGGAGGGGAGGGGGACCAATAGTGGCGATAGACCCCCGATGAAAAATCGAAGTGCAATTATGAACAAGGCTACCGCTAGCGTCTTACACGCTATCTGCCGCGCGCGGCCGGGTGTCGAAGTCGACTCCGAGGAAGACCGGGAGTTGCCGTCCAGTGGCGGGGCGTAAATGATCCATTTTCGATATTTCCCCATTTGAAGCTATGGTAAAGAATCGATTGTTCAGGTGTACCCTGTCTATCGACCCTTTTCCACAGGTTTAAATGGCAGGTCAATCGATGTATTGGAAAGCACGCGACGCTACTCGTGGCGTCGTGAGTCGTTTCCCGCTCTATTAATCACCGCGTTTCGGCGTATCTAGTCGTCATGAGAATGGTCACAGCCACACTAACCCCAACCTCAACCGCGGAAGCACCGCACCGACCACCCCGACCCAATGCCCACCGCTCAAGGTCACCGAGGCTCCCCCAACCCCAACGGAGCGCGGAAAAGTTCGAGTCATCAGGAACACATAGCTCCAGTAGGGTGTCCTATTTTGGACGTTGTAAAAAAAAATTGTGAAATCCAACAGAGATACTTTCCAAAAAGTTGTCTCATGGAGAGGAAAAAAGCACGAAAAAATCTCAGGGTCATAGCTAAGGGTTTAGCGGTCTCGCAAGGCACTTAAGTTACCCAAGTTACCGATATCTTATCTTGGCGATCTTAGCAATGGGCCTGTTGCAAACTTTTGCTAGAGCAAGAATAAGAGTTGTTCCTTATAGATTTTGTCTCAAAAATCACGATTAGTGCATCGGCAAACCCTGAATTACATTCCTAACTTGATAATCTGCGTAAGAAGTTTGCGTTTTTTTTAAGTTTTCCGCTTCAAAGTGGACACTTAAGCAGTTAAGCACAGGTGAACATTTTGTTGGAGGAGTCGTTCCATTCAATCCCTGCCTAACATGGCCGCGAGTTGAGGAGAGCACGAGGTCAATCAAGGCGGATATCTATCAACGCGAGAAAAGTGTGAATGTAAACACACCGATTGTATCAGGTGGTTAGAATCATCGTCCCGTTACATGTGTTTTGGCGAATTGGCGTCGGCTTTGTTGAATATTGCGTGGTATCCTTGTGAGCAGGGGTTGGATAGAATGACTCCTCTCACGAAATGTTCACCTGTGCCGTGGTATCGTTTTTGAAGCGGGAAGCTCGGAAATGAGCACATTTCTTACGCAAATTGTGAAGTAAGAAGTGCATTTCAGACTTTGCCGATGCGCTCATCGTGATTTTTGAGACACTCTCTATGAGCAACAACTCTTATTTTTGCAGTAGGAAAAGTTTGCAACAGGCCCATTTCGCAGGTTTTCTTTTGTAAAATGCAATCTAGCTAGTGTGTCGCACATGGGTATGATGAGCAATTTTCGTAGTTGCCTCTCTGGCTCATTCATGAAAGCACGAATCAGTGGCGATGCATGAGTGGTCGATTATCGATATTTCCCTATTTGAAGCTGTGGTAAAGAATCGATTATTAACGTATCTGTTGCCAACACCCTCTTTATCATCCTTTTCATAGGTTTTAATGGCAGATCAATCAGTACATCGCACAGCACGCCACGCCACTGTTCGATAGATTAAACATGTTCTGCATTACTTTTTATACGAAGACGCGTCTTATGGAGTTGGACTATTACTCTGTCTCATGAGTCGTGGTCCACTCCAGCTGTCTCGAAAAAAGCTCTGAGCAAACTTTTTGTCGGTCTCCTAAATTAAGCAGATGCTCCTCGGTAAACGAGGCCCAATTGGCGATGCACAAATGCAGCCTCGTCATTGTTGCCAGATATTACTGGAAAATTAGAGCTCTTCTCCCTTCGGACGTATGTACATAAAAAGGAACTAAATCCATTCTAACGTGAGTCCTGTGGTCTGTAAGAATACATGCTGTACAGGACTCATGCCGTATAATAAATATAGTTATTTTTGATTTAAGTGTGTCGATCTAAACCCATGTAAAATATCCAAATTTCACTGCACAACGTGGCAGCCTCGAGTTTCGTCCCGCGAGGCTCATCCCGAGCTGTGAGTGGCAAAAAAGGCGCTAAAGACCCGGGACCCGGGCGGCGTCACCGAATTCACCCTCAAAATTGGTAATTTTTGCATGAGAGCTCTTTTGACAAAAAAACACAATACCCCTGCAAATCTGAGCAAATTTTGGGCAAACGCTCTTGAAGCGATTACCCTCTCGAACCCCCCGGCTTAAAGGAGGCCACCGGGACCGGGTTATTTCATTTTTTGTATCAACTTTGGGAGCCATGCCAGACGCTATGGTGACACTGCAGCTGGATCCTTTGCAACCAACTAATGCAATCGAGGTCGATGACTGAGAGTGATTTGGACGCACTTGGGTACATCAAAAGGAACTATATCCATTCTGACATGAGCCGTGAGATCCATAAGAATACATTCATGACAGGGTTCATGTCATAATGAATATAGCTCCTTTTTTATTTAAATGCGTTCATTTCAGAGAAGTTGGGCCCGGGCGGGGGCGGGGGAGCGTGAATCGAGACGGTCGTTTGTAGGCACCCCCTTCCCCCCTCCCCATGCATCGTACCATCACCCTACTTAACTCGGTACTTAACGATACATCGCAATTCACGCCACGCCACTGATCGTCAGGTGAATCTGAGTGTTGACTCCTCAAAGTAGGTAACTTTTACACGTCTAGCGGGGAAGATACCTACGGAGCACTGAGTCCCAACAAAAAGTGGCAAGCCTGCTAGTATAAATGCTCGGGTATGGGTCAGAAACTGTAGTTCCTCATTAGAAAATGGAGTCAATTTGTTTGTGCAGGGACGTAAGCTCTTCCTGAATCCTGAGAACACTCGAACTTGAAGTGGGAAAGTGATCTGTTGGGACGAACAACAAATGGCACAAGTGGAGAGAGCGCGTGTCTCGCAGTCGCCGAGAGGAGAAAGTTGCGTACTTTCGGGTTTTTTCGAGCTTACACCTTATCGCGTTTACACATTTTACTGGTTACAACCAGATTCACAGGTAGCATCGCCGATAAACACGCCCTTATCTCCGCATATTTCCATCAATCCAGTCAAGTACAGCGCCACAGATTTCAGTTGTTTGTCGATCAGGAGCCAGCTAATTCGCCTAAAAATCAAGTCTCAAGAAACTTGAAAACTAAAGTTTCGCGTGTAGTAGTTTGAAAAACTGTCAAAATCCCGGATCTCCCGCCACCGCTCTTTGCACGGTCATGACTGTTGAATCGTTGGAATATCTGTGCACGCATTTGTTGAAAAGCAAGCTGTTCGTGTTTTTCAAGTTCGGGAATACATTTTATGTGTTTGGAGTTTGATTTCATGGCAAAGAAATGTTGAGTATTTTTTGCCGCGCCCGTAACTGTATTTTAAGTGAGTCTGGCGGCTTTATTTTACTTCTCCAGTGGCGTGGCGTGCTTTGCGATATATCGATTGATCTGCTGTTGAAACCCGTGGTAAAGGATCGATAAACAGGGTCTTCGTAACGAGCACCTTAATAATCGATTCTTTATCACAGCTTCAAATGGAGAAATATCGATTTTCGATCATTCACGCTTCATTACTGTGTTTTTCATCATTTTCGGAAAGAGTGAAAGGGATAGCAATACTCTATTTAAGTTTTTCTGTGATTAAGCAAAACGGGATTTGGGATCAAGATGTCTACTAATCGTAAATCTTTTGTGCCTTTTTGTACGGATCTGGAAAAGTTTGTACAGATTGTACGATTTTGGAATACGTCCTGGTGACGTAGCTTTCGCTGAAATAAAATTCAATAAAGCAAACGTTTAGTGACTTAATCGTCGAAGGAGTAGCTCGCTACGGTAACACGAACCCTCCTTAGTTGCAAAGAGCCTCCCCAAAAAAGTGATCCTTTTTTGGAAACGCGGGGATTATATCTTAATTTGAGTTGAGTGAAATCTTACTATGACTAATTGTAGGAGCTACAAGTTAATGGTAGTACAAGAAATTGTTTTCTGCCATTCATAATCAGCTGCATTCAACTTGTGTATTTTTTTTGCTCCTCGAGAGCTTAACGGAGCCTGCCGATGTGTAAAGCAGCTAGAAATGGATTCTCTTGTGTTCTTAACACCCCCCCCCCCCAAGTGGCGAAGCGTGAATGATCCGTCATCGATATATCCATCCCCATTTGAAGCTGTTGTAAAGAATGATTAAGGTGTTCGCTGCCAACACCCTGTTTATCGATCCTTTTCCATGGGTTTAAATGGAAGATCAATCGATGTATTATGCGAATCACGCCACGCCACTGATATCCTCACCATAGAGGTCCTCGTATTATAGGTTGGGGTCCAGATTGTTCTTCAGTGGTCGCTTTCATCAGCCAAAATGATATTTTCCAACGCCTTATTACAAAGCGTGGTCGGTGTAATTTCAACATACAAGTTTCACGGTGGAGGTAATTTCGACAAAAAATCAGCGCGGTCCAAGTAGGTAACTTCAACAGAAAAAGAAAGGCTCTGTTACACGATCAAATTGAGCCATCAAACTGAAGCTCTGATTGGTGGAAAAAGACCTGAGGTGAGGATGCGACCAATAAGAGGCCCAATTTGATGGCTCAATTTGATCGTGTAACTGGACCTTACAATCATGTAATACAGGATCCAAAAGTCACTGACCACCCCTGTAACTTTTTCCCAAATTAAGATAGAAGTTTGAAACTTTGGGAATGTTCCTCGGTCTAAAGTAGCAACTTTTTGGTCCCCCCAAAATTTTGGGGGGCGGGGGCTAACTTTTTTTTTTCAAATGGCAACCTCCCCTTTGTGATACCTCGACATTCGAAAGATAATAAAAAAAGAAAATTTTTGGCGCAAACCGCAGGTCAAAATGTTCATTTTTGACAAAATGGCGGCCGGTCAAAGTTCAAAATGGCGGAAATTTGGCATCTCCGTTTTTTCTCGACGGATTGGTCTGAAACTCAGAATATTAGGGTTTTTTGGGACGAGAAAAATATCCATCAATCAAAACACAAATCAAAAACATCAATCCATTTTTTGGGGCATCGGTTTTCCAGAAAAGTCAGTCCTTTTCAAAATGGCGGCGGTCAAAATGGCGGCCTAGAGCGAGAAGTGGATATTTAGGCTGCTTATCGTTGGATTTGTATGAAACTTAGTATCCGGGAGTATTTCGGCACGAGAAGAACGAATTTTTCATTGGATATCTGAAATTCCGACGAATTTCAAAATGACGGCTCAAAAGTGGCGATAAATCAGTTTTACGGTTGTTTACCAATGGATTTGCATGAAATTCGATATCCTGGTGGTTTTTGGCTGGATAAAAAGAAATCTTTCATTAATTCTCGAAATACTAAATAATCGATATCGCATTTCATGCAAATACATCGGTAAACAGCCGTAAAACTGATTTCTCGCCACTTTTTCGCCGCCATTTTGAAATTCTTCGGAATTTCAGGTATCCAATGAAAGATTCGTTCTTCTCGTGCCGAAATACCCCCGGATACCAAGTTTCATGCAAATCCAACGATAAGCAGCCTAAATATCCACTTCTCGCTCTAGGCCGCCATTTTGAAAAGGACTGACTTTTCTGGAAAACCGATGCCAGAATCGTTATTTTCGTCCCAAAAAACCCTAAGATTCTGAGTTTCAGACCAATCCATCGATAAAAAACGGAGATGCCAAATTTCCGCGATTTTGAACTTGGACCGGCCGTCATTTTGTCAAAAATCAACATTTTGACTTGCGGTTTGCGCCAAAAATTTTCTTTTTTTATTATCTTTTGAATGTGGTATCACAAAGGGGGGGTTGCCATTTGAAAAAAAAAGTTAGCCCCCGCCCCCCAAAATTTTGGGGGGACCAAAAAGTTGCTACTTTAGACCGAGGAACATTCCCAAAGTTTCAAACTTCTATCTCAATTTGGAAAAAAGTTACAGGGGTGGTCAGTGACTTTTGAATAACCCTGTATAAACGAATCACTAGCGCAGCTGCAGTTATTTACACAAAAATCAGTTTGCGGACAGTAATTCACAGATCTTAATCAAAATTAAAACCTTGCAGATTTTGCAACAAAAAATATGTACCTGCAATAATTTTTACTCGCAGACGCCGCGACTTTGAATTCTCGCACAATCAAAAGCACGCGCACGTTATATAGCGCCTTCAAAATCGTAGAGATACCTCAAACGCTGCACCGTTTCTCATACGTTCCATGACCTGTCAGACGTTGACAAATTTTGTTTTTCAAAATATGAATTTTCAGGGAAATCTGTGAATGTTTATCTTCGAACTTTTCAGGGGATTTTATCAACAATTGGATCTAAATTATCTGAAAATTTCAAGAGGAAGTATGTGTTATTCCTCTCAAAAATTGAACATTATTTACCGGAGGAATTTTGGCAACCCTCGAATAATCATACAGTGTTCTTCCATAGCACGGCAGTGTTCTCAGGTTTGCCACAGTCAGGGAAAACCGGGAAATGTCAGGGAATTTGAAAAAGTCAGGGAAAACCGGGAAATGTCAGGGAATTTTAAAAAGTCAGGGAAAATGACGAAAATGTCAGGAAAAATTTGTTGAAGCATCTTCATTTGCTTTCTAGAATGGGTTTGAGATTTCGAACAAGAAATTTTGCCCGAAAACTATTGTCAATTATGCCTTCTTAACCATCCGTAACATCTTCCTATGTTATGGAAATTTCCACCAAAATGTGTCAGGAAAATGTCAGGGAATTTCATTTCCTAAATTCTGTGGCAACACTGTGTAGGTGCGCAACGTCCACCCGCGATCCACGAATCGGGCGATCCATCACATTTGTTGCCTCTCAGCAGAGGGTCTACTAGTGCAGAATTTCTTGAAGTAGTAATGACTTTTCAACGGCGATCCGGAACTACTAAAAAATTGCGGAAATTCCCCGAGGAGCTCCGGAATTTTTCCTTCATACTACGCGTCCTTTTTATTAGGCCTTGGAAATATGCAATCCCCTGCGCGTTAGGTAATTCTTAAACTATTAGTCGCCCGCAAGATCGCGATTGTGCAGTCAGTTGACCTGCAAGCCACCAATTGAATTTTGTGTCTTCGTCATTTTTGCCGCAATTTGAGCGATACTTTCGAATTTTCACAAATCGAGCTATTGAAAAACTACTGAATTTTTCTGTCGAGGAGATATTGAATTTCTTGGGAATGTACTGAAAAAGTACTGATTTTTGGCCATCCTGTTTCAGTGAAGAGCCTGGACTCGGACTTTAGGAGGGTCTGAATTTCCACGTGAGCCCTGCGGGCCGATTATTGAAATTGATAGGCAAAGCAGACGAAAGGTATAACGACGGTGAAACTACCAAACCACGTATCTCGTTTGCGGTGTTTAAAAATCTACGCTCACATTTTATTTTTTTGAAGTAGACCAAATCAATATCATTCCTTGAAATTTTCACGGAATTTTTTCCGCACAAAGAGGAAAAATCACAGAAATTTTCAAGACTGGATGTTAAGTAGTTTTTCATTTAAAAAATAAAGTATGACAGGAAGTCTGCGACGTCGCAAACCGAGATACGTGGTTTGGTAGTTTCACCGTCGATATGGAGAGATCCTACTGGTGGAAGCTGGTGGTTACAATGGACAAAGAGAGTGGGTAATAGACTAAGTAACGGCCGCCCACGAGGGACCCGGTATTCAGTCCATGATTTTCTCCCTTCGTCTATACTAACCACCCATTTCAACCGAGAAGATAGCTTCATACTCCCTATGTCTTCTTTGTCTATCGCTTTGTTTATCAATTTCAACAATCAGTCAGCAGGGGAGCCAGAGAGGTCACAGTGGCGTTCTTGCATGAGTCAGGGATTTGCGCTTTGACGATGGTGCACCTGCAGAAATGCGTATCTCAGTTTGCGGCGTTGCAGACTTACTGTCATATGTACTTTATTTTCTGCATGGAAAACTACTGAACGTAATTTTTTTTAAAATGCCAGGGATTTTTCTTATATCTTTATTTCATTAGCTTCTTTCAATCCAACGCTGTATCATTGTTTCTAATCGAGTGCCGCCGCCGGTCGGCGCGTAACGCGTAATATGGGCGCCTACGAGACTGCAGGAATACTTGACGCATTGCACGAAAACGCAGTGCGATCGCTGGTCGGCGCGACACGCATATTAGCTTCATACTCCGTACGTCTTCTTTGTCTATCGCTTTGTCTATCAATTTGAATAATCGGCCCTTGGAGGCTCGTCCGGAGACGGATGTACGGCCCGACGTGAGAGGAGCGAGGATTTTGGACGGCCGTTGGCCCGTTGGGGGTGGGTGTGAAGCCCTGTTAAATGAAGTTGGGGCTTGATGAGTTTCGTTTGTTGGTTGTTTCAGTTTGAGTTGAGGACGGAGCATGGTAGTCGGGTTGGAGGAGCGATGATAATGGACGAGCAGCCGCACCAGGAGCTGGTGAAATGCGTCGTGGTCGGCGACACCGCCGTCGGCAAGACCCGGCTCATCTGCGCCCGCGCCTGCAACAAACAGGTCTCCCTCTCCCAACTCCTCAACACACACGTCCCCACCGTCTGGGCCATCGACCAGTACAGGATCTACAAAGACGTAAGCACCACAAACATCAACACAGGCTTAAGGGAATTTTAAAAACTCACGCAAAACCGGGAAATGTCAGGGAAAATTTGTTAAATCCTCTTTCCTTCCTTTCTAAAATGGGTTTGAGGTTTCCTACTACAAATTTTGCCTGAAAACTATTTTCAATTTTGTCTTCTTAACCATTCGCCGTATCTTCAATTGTCAGGAAATTTCACCAAATTGTATCAGGGAAAACTATTTTCTAAATTCTGTGGCAACCCTGTCAACAACAACTCAACCACAGATAAACTACAAAATCTAAATGTCAATATTTTCACAATGGAGAATTTGCATGCAAATTTTTTATCGCCCCATCTGAAAGTGCCTAAAGAGCTGATTTCACAGTATTTTTATAATTTTTTTCTGATATGGGAAATAGTATAAGACGTAGATTTAAAAGTGAGAAAATTCACCACCTGGTGACGATATCTGGCGGCATTTCCCATTTAAACACACGTATTTTAGCAGATTAGATCATTTTGTCATATCTTCTCCAATAATTGTTCAATTCATGAACCAAGGGTATCCTCGTGTTCAGTTCACTCAGTAGTTCCCATCTAAACACGAAATTCATCAAAGCTCAGACACCTAGCTGCAAATTCTCTATCGGACGTATTTCTGATGGACGTAACCAGAGACAGGTTTTAAAGAAAAGGTGTGCTCCAGGGTGGAGCCATTTCCATTTTTCTACGAAATCTTTTGACGGGTAGTGAAAAAACATTTAATGCTGTTTGCTCTCAAATGGGAGGGAATTGCCTTAAGGTGATTCGTCAAGCTCAAGTGACGTGGTCGAACTGACTTGCGATGTATCGCATCTTTTGCCTCAAAAATCTCGGCAGATTTTGAATTTTTAGCAAAGAAAGGACGATGACCCCTCCGCATGAGCCTGAAGAATCATTCAAAACCCAAAAATCGGCAAAATTCAGAGAAATGAAAGCAGAATAGTGTTTGGAAAGAAACCTCGCATTAGATATAGAAATCGGTAGCTGAATCGAATGCGAGGTTTTTTTTCCAAACTTTATTCTGCTTTCATTTCTCTGAATTTTGCCGATTTTTGGGTTTTGAATGATTCTTCAGGCTCATGCGGAGGGGTCATCGTCCTTTCTTTGCTAAAAATTCAAAATCTGCCGAGATTTTTGAGGCAAAAGATGCGATACATCGCATGCCAGTTGGACTACTTCTTTTGAGCTTGAAAAATCACCTTAAGATTCGAGGGGTTTTTCCTGAGCGCGGGTGAATGCGAGGGTGCCAGGATTGGCAACGGAGGAAGGAGCCGCAGCCTGTGAATGACTCGACTCGTGGATCATGGTTCATGGGCGTAGTTGAGAAAGAGCGACTCCGGCACCGGCACCCCCGGCACCGCTAAAGGGTTGATTCCGAGGTCAAGGTCAACACTCAGTACTCCACGCTTTCACCCTCCTCCCGGTGCCCCTCAGCCTCAGCCCCGCGCCACCGCCCTTCCAACAAGCGCCACCCAAAGCTGGGGTGTAATCAAGTTCCCGTTACGAATGGCGAGCAAGAAGGCACTTGTTCTCAAAATGAGGAAACTATGCACTTCACATTTTCAAAATCCCTATCTCTTTCTTTCTCGCTCACTCGGGGTTACTCCCAGCGCAGTGCTGCCGTGCTTAGGAAAAACGCCAAATGAATCTTCAGGCATTGCCAAATTTCCCCAGATGAAATGCGAATTTCTAAGTAAGTTCATGAATTTTTTTCTTCTAGCTTAATAGTAAATGTTGTTCGCAATTTTACCTAGAGATTCTGAAAATTTAAAGGAAAATTATTCATAACTTTCCTGAAAAATTAACATTTTATCTAAGGAAATTTGGCAACTCTCGAATGTTCATACTGCCTTCTTCCTTAGCACGGCAGTGTGGAGAGAGGTATCGAGAAACGGGCGGGGGGGGGGCACCTCCCTACCACCATGCGGCCCAGCCTCCCGAGGGCGCTTCACGCCTCAAGGTCGCAAGCCTCCCACTTTAATTAAATAAGTAAAAAAAAAGATTTTTCAATGAAACGAAATTTTAATCCAATTTTGAGGCCCTCGATTGTTCCTTTAAACAATTTGGGGGGAGGGGGGGGGCTGGGTCAGGCCAGTCTTACGTAATAAAATGAGAGGGGAGGAGTGTGTCAGAGGCTGTCTTACGGATGCCTTACAGGGTGTCTAGCGTCAGGATTTTCCCGATTCTATTAGGGTTTGAGATCAATGAGGATTTCATTTCGATTTCATCAGGATTTGAGGAAAAATCGGTCGTAAAATCAGGATTTGAGAAAAGTTGGCCGTCCGATCGGATTTTTCATCGAGCTATTTTTGTGAAGTTACATTTGCCTCGCGTGAAGTGATGACCTCTTAATGTTTCTCCGCAAAAAATCAGGATTTAGCAGTAAAAATCAGGATTTCCCAAAATAATAATAATAAAAAAAAAAAAAAAAACTAGACACTCTATTACAGAGAGGAGAGGGGGTGGAAAAGTCGGCTAAAATGTCTTATGTAATACTTGAAGAGTCCGTTGGGTAAATATTGAATTTTGATTGCAGGTGCTGGAAAGATCCTGGGAAGTTGTGGATGGAGTGAATGTTTCTCTCCGTCTCTGGGACACGTTTGGCGATCACGAGAAAGACAGGAGATTCGCCTACGGCAGGTAAACATCTCATCAACAATTTTTCACGCAGTGAGCACCTTTCATTTCCCACGAGTCGGAAGACGATCATTTAGAACTTTGAATAGGCAACTAAACGTGCTCTGCTGTGGGGAATTGCCTAATCTACTGTTTGAAGGCGATTTAACGGCACGAAAAGAACGCAGTCGGGCCGTTATTGTTGCCGTGCGGAATTTGTACGGATCACGGCTGTAGGAAAGTATTGCCTTCCCACAATGCAACATTTCAAAATTTCTGCATATAATTTAGTTTTAAGAAGAAGAACAAATCGACAGTGCAACTTGACATTTTTACAGGATGATCATGAAAATGGTGAAGGGAAGTCAAAGAATATTTACAGTCATTGTGTTGACTGATTTTTTCCTCGAAAAATAAAGTGTATGCGGAGATTTAGAAACGTTACCGTTGAGATGGTGTTGGAAAACAGTCATCGGAACGTGATGAATAAAGGGATTTTTCAGTGAAAATTTTGATAAAATTGACATCATAGTCTGGTTCTCTGGTTTTCCAGAACTTGTGCACTCTAAAACTTAAGTATTGAATTCTTAAAAGCAGATGTAATTTTTTTGTAAAAATAGAGTAGTTTTGCCAACAATCCAATTCTTACCTACTTTTGTTTCCAATATCAAAGAGCTCTAGTCTCATATAAATATTTTCTCTAATTTTACTTAATTTTTGCGAATTTTCAGATCGGATGTAGTGCTTCTCTGTTTTTCGTTAACTAGTCATGTCTCTCTTCGAAACTGCAAAGCCATGTGGTATCCAGAAATCCGCCGATTTTGCCCGCAAACCCCTGTTCTCCTGGTTGGCTGTAAAAATGATTTGAGATTCATGTATAGAGACGACAGCTACTTAACATACTTCAGAGATAAAAGTCCTTTCGTCCGGTAAGTTCCTGAATGGTCACGTTATTCATTTTACTCAAAGAGCTATTCGGCCATGCCAAGGAAAAACGTCGTATGAACATTCAAAAGTTGCCAAATTTCCTGGGATAAAACTTGTACTTTTAAGGAAAGCTATACATATTTTTCTTTGCTACGTTCAGATATTTTACCCAGTAAATTCGATTTTATTGAAGGATATGTGACAACGTTCAAAGGCTCTTCAAAAGCATTTTTCCTTAGCACAGTAGTAATAGCGTGTAATATATAGAGAAATTTGGAAGAAAGTGAAGAAAAGAGAAGCTACTAAGAAAAAAAAAGAAAAATGATCTCAAAACAGGGAGCCATTTACAGATTTTTGTGAAATTTTCTGCCGGCAAAGGAAACTCTATACCTAGACTTTTGTTTGCTTTCCACCAAGAAAGAGGAAAGAAAAGAAGAGCCCCACCCAACCTCAAAATTGATACTGGAAGAATTATAGCCTGTAATCTCCGTTCCTATCTCTTTTTATTTTCCTGACCCCTTTTTTTAAGTGTAACTAAAACTCATATCAGCACAAGCTTTTTGGTGAAGTGTAATTATTCTATGAAATGATTTTCCTAAAAAGCATTATTAAGTACTTCCAATGTACTGTACTAATATTTTTCCCGTTTTTGCTTCAGACCAACCAGAAAATGCGATCTCGTAATGCCTGATGAGGCGCGGGCAGTAGCCCGAGAGCTTGGTATCCATTATTATGAGACAAGTGTCCTTACCTATTTTGGTGTCAATGAAGTTTTTGAAAATGCCATTAGAGCCGCTCTAATTGCCCGGCGACAACAGCGCTTCTGGATGACAAATTTGAAGAAAGTTCAACGTCCTATTTTACAGGCAAGTGTTAATTTTTTAATTTCAATTTCCATCTGTAGAATCGTGCAATTACGAATTTATCCATAAATAAGCTAGATCTTGATTTTCACGTGATTATAATAACTTTTCCTCTAATAAATTTATGCAGAAAACTCTCACCCCCTCCTTGATACGAGTTTCTTGAGTTCAGTGAGAAAAAAAATCAGATAAAAAAAACCGGTAAACTTTGTTCTATTATAACTCGTACATATAAACTTGTGGTACATAAATCTGAGGTAGCTCAAAGTAGAATTTTATAAGGACATCATTTGTATTTTCAATGCTACAATTTCCCAAGGGTGCATCAAGTGCCTAATCTCATGATTTTTGGATTGTGCCAAACCAGAGACAAATCTTGGGGCAAGAGGCAATATTGACAGTGAAACTACCAGACCCTGTACCTTGTTTGCAGTGTTTAAAAATCTCCTCTCCCATTTTATTTCTTGAAGCAGAAAAAATCAATATAATTTCTCGTAATTTTCACAGAGTTTTTCTCGCACTGAAAAGAAAAAGATTGGAAGTTTTCAAGAATTGACGTTGAGTAGTTTTCCATTTAAAAAAATAAGTATGACAGGAAGCCTACAACGTTACAAATTGAGATACGTGGTCTGGTAGTTTCACCATCGATATGTATTTAAAATTGTGATGAATTTTTCTTTTGTTTTTCCTCATCACTAACATAAATTGGGATACATCGGTGACTTTATTGTAAAAATTGGAAGTTTTACTGTGAATTTAAAACATTGAATTGCATAAAACGGTGGTTTTGAAACTTTTTACACTGCCATAATTTTTCTAAAATTATTTTTTCCGAGTTGAAGTATCCCAAAACCAAATAAATTTCCAGGTAACACAGCAGAAGGAAATAAGGTCGTAAATTTTGACTTTGTTTTTTTTGCTGGAGAATGAGAGTTGGGTTTTAAAAGACAGCAATATTACTGTGATTTTTGTCATTGGCTGTAAAAGAGTCTTGTATTATAGTTGTGAAGTTATCGTAAAAACTTACTTTTTCTACGATACGTGCCATCATGTTTCAAAGTCTTCATTCACAAGAAGGTAATCTTGGGCAGGATGACTTAGACTTATTACTTTGTTTTTCATTTTAGGCTCCATATTGTCCTCCGAAACCGTTGTTACCGGAAATATTCGTGCAAGACTCTGTTTTTGAAGATAACTTAGTTGAGCTTTACAAACAACAAGCCTACACTGACGTAGTTTTTGTCACTGGATCAGTCGGTTTCACAGCACACCGTTTTATACTCTCAGCAGCCTCTCCGTCTTTACATCGGCTATTACTCTTGAATGATAATGCAGGCAGTGAGGTTGGGCGCAGTGCCAGCGAATCAAGTATGGTTAGTGCAATCATGACAGCAGTAATATACACTTTATCATATTCCTCCAGATACTGAGAGTGTAGCAACAGCCATAACGCTTTTTCAATGAACCTGAGAGTTAAGAGCCCTGCTTTTGACATATTATTCTATTTAGCACAGGTTTCAAGTATAATAAGAGAAGATGCAAAAAGCGACTGTAAAAATTTAATTTTCAACTCAATAAAAACTTTCGGAAACTGGCGTAAAACCTGGAAGGTCGAAAAGCTGTTATTATATTCGAAGCTTTATAGCCATTTCCCAATAATTCATCTTCATCCTGTAAATGTTCGTATTTTGTGGCCGACAAATTCACTCTCTTTTGATTGCTCATCAATATTTTTTTCTTTCTTTCTTTCAGGTTTCATCATTTGGAGAGACAACACAAGGCGATTTCAATGAAGACACCGAACACCTCATACGAACAGACAAACATTCAAAGTTTGTTGTTTTTCTTTTCCTCTTTTCAGTCTTATCTGTGTCTCACAGTCACAGAACACTAGTGAATCAATAGACCTACTAGCATACAATAAAAGAAAGGATTTACTCAAATGATCCGTTTTGGAAAAACATGCGATTCAAGTAAAAACAATCAAATCTCAAATTTTTAATGCCAGTCCTTTTTTAATAAGCTCAAAAACTTCAGGACAAATTTTTTTAGTACAATCTGCATTTCAATGATGTAATAAGAATTTGGAAGGAACTGTGTTCAAGGCCAGCATCAGCGCTGGTTACAGATTACTCTCAGTGCATATTTTTTTTTCAATGGAGCAGAGACCAGACATTTTTAAAGGGTTCTGGTGTAGATTTTGGCAATTGAAATTTTATGAAAAACCATAAAGTTCATTAAAAATTTTAAAAAAATCCCTTTTTAAGGGGAAAAATCTAATCAAAAGTTGAAAGTCCGAGTTCGCATAGCAAGGCGCAGCCTAAAATTGCGTTCATCTAATCAGTAAACGCTGTCTCCCCGCCTGGCTACGTCATCCCGGTTGGCCATAAATATTGATTCATACGACATTTTCTGGCATTTTTAAAACGGGATTTCTTTGCCATTGAAGGTTTTAAAAATTCTGAAAAAACTCCTTGAGGCTTTGTTCACCTGGTACTTTAAAAAAATGGACTGAGAAAAAAGGTGCCACTGACCTATTGTCATCTCATTTCCTAAATCAATTTCCCCTTATTATTCCCATTATTTCTTGATCTTTACAGATTATGGAAGCAGTTGAAAAGGAGATCTAGCTGTCAAGTTTTATCGTCAAGTAGTTCTGCTTCAGCAGACCATTGTAAAAAATTTAACAAAGACTTATCCCACCCAGCCTTTACATCTATTAAAATTCAGCAAGTAAGTAATTTTTCATTAATTTGAACGCATTGAGCCACAACTGAAATCATAGGTTTCAAAGTTAGGGTCTCATTTTTTCTTCTCTTTTCTCTTTCTTTCTTTCTTTCTCCCTTTTTTTCTCTCCTAAACTAAACATTGTTGGTTAAAGTTCAACAACATGCACTCAACTCTTTGTTGTCGATTTTCAAAGTATTATATCCACTTTTTTTTTTGTTTTCTTGAGACAAATGAATCGAAATTTTTCTTTCTTAGTTTTATAAATTATGTACTGAACAAAATTTCTGACACTTATATTTATTTTTATTTTATTTTATTTTATTTTTTTTAAAAAGAAAAATAAAGCTGACAATTTTGTTTTGAAATGCCGCAATTGAAATATGTATGTTTTAAAACTTTTTCCTCGATTTTCACCCATCCCAGCATTACTATCTGCTACACCTTACTTTGGCACTTAATATGTGATTGAGAAAAGATATTGTAAGTTACAAAATTACAGAGTCCTATAAATATGCTGTTCTCAATGCTTATCGTAAGCTGACTTCATTCGAGAATTATTTGTTCAAACAATAGCTTTGTTCTGCACTAAATTTAGTGAGCTCATGGAAATCAAGTTAGAACTGTCAATTTACAGCAAGGAATAAGGAAGATTCTCATCATTACCTGATAATTTTTTGGAGGCGCAGGAAATAGCATTCCAAAAGTTAATTCAAGTCGTGATACGTTCCTTTCTGGAGTTCTTAAATCTTCAAGTACAAAACTATTAATGTACCCGAAAACCTATCCTTTGACACCAATCTAGTCAGTGATTACGGATGGAAACAATTGGACACTGAAACTCCCAAACTTTGTATATCATTTGCGCTAATTTCAAGGAAGTTCTTAAGAATTGATGTTGAGTAGCTCTCAATTTGAAAAACGAAATATGACAGGAAGTCTGCAACGTTGCAAACCAAGATTCGTGGTTTTAGTGTTGAATTCCAATCTTCTTTTTTCACGGTCAGTGCATTTGTTTGATTGTTCAGGTTTTTTTTTCATTTTCAGTGCGAAGGCTCAGATCATGGTGGGCATGCAGTTACGTCCGTTCAAACTATTATAACCTTAAGCAAATTAGTAACTTCGCAAGCCATGCAACACTGTCTCCAATTTCTCTACACGGGCTCTTTTGATACCCGACTACCAGTCAGCACATTACAGGTCAGTTTCTTGAAACTTCATTTTTCAATAGTTTTTCTATTTTGGTGATCATTTGTAGAATAAATAACCTTATATGCAGACTTTAATGGTGTGATGCTGCTCTCTTCTGAGCATGAGATACGAGAGGAAGAGAAGGGAGAGAGAAGGTAGGAGTGCGCAGGTGCGACTACATAGAGAGGGGGAAGGGAGACGCATTGCGGGCCAGCACATAAGCGGCGTGGCAGCAGGTTACTCTTGAAAGGACCCGCCGACGAGAGAGATCTCAGTACCTATTTCATTCATTCATTTTTCGGACAGCCAGCTGATTTGGGTAAAAGGTTTGTAGAGCCTAAATCTGCCTTTCATCGATATTTTCCCTTGCTCCCATTGACACTTCTGCTAACTATTCGTTCCCGGGTCGGTGCCAACGGCGACGACTAGCTCGGATAGTTGGAGTGGAGGACGAGTCTATTCGGTTGCGATCGCAATGAGGTCGCGGGTGATCAGACCCGCTGTCATAATATGGAAGAAAGCTTACAATCCAGTCATCGGTACTCTTGCATTAAGAAGTGTTTCACGCACATTTTTGTGGGAAAAAATAGCAGGAAATTTCAGTACCTTGGTTGTAAAATCTTCTCAATGCTTCATTCTTTGCTGCCTGACTGTTTGCTAAGGGTTCCAAGAGCAGCCTGGCCCTCTTAAAAAATTGTGATCGTATGCTGTGGCTCAATGCTTACCAATAGATGCCTTCAAGGGGTAAATAAGCCCATGACTCCTCATATAATTCTTCCTCTGATTCCAATTCAATGCATTATTTATTTTCCATCGACAGAAGCCTCCACAGTTTTTGCTCAATGGTAATTAATTTATTTATCAATTGTAAAGTGCAAATTTTCCATTTGCTGCGTATGTGCTTTTTTTTTCTCCCATGCTCAAAGAGTTATTAGGATCATGAACCTAGTTTTTCCCCAAAAGATCTCCTTTCTTCTTTTGAATTTTCTTAGCAGTTGAACGATATCTTGAAATCGGTTTTTGTTTAAGTTTGGTGGAACCTTTAATTTATTTCTCTCTCTTCAGGAAATTCGTCAAGCTGCAGAATTTATGGACTTAGCAGAATTACTGGTGTTTGTATCAAACGTCCAGTCCCATGAAGAATTCTTGAATACAGCATTGAAGCAGAGGTTCAAATTGGTAAGATACTTAGTGAAAATTTGGGATATTCATGAAAACAACGGCAATATGTAAATATTTGTAATATTTACCGCAAAAATTGGATCAAGCAGCAAATTTTATAGCCGTTCTTTATAGCAGAGGTAGTAAAATGCCGGAGAGATTCCCTGAAAAATGCTTTCTACGGTTTTTAAATGTTGAACTGAGAGTATTTCAAAATCTAGTGGTAAATAATAACATTCTCAATTTTTTCAGGACAAACCAACCTTGCAAAATATAAAAATGATGAAAAATATCAGACGTTATTGTACTTTTTCTTTGTCAGTACATTAAATTTAATCACTAAAAATATAAAAGTGTTTTTTTTAAGAATTCTGTAAGAAAGTAGTCAGAAATTGAATGAGGAAAAAAAGGTAGTATAAAAATTAAAAATCCTAAACTCAAGAAATGAATGAAAGCAAGTGCCAATGCGTTGTGGTACCCCATGGTCCTTTTTTAAGTCTATTTTGACACTTTAAAATGTTAACCTTAAAAATAAAGCAAGGGGTCCCGAGACATCTGTTCTAATTTAATTTTTGATTTTGAGTTTTTCAATTTTCTAATTCCCTCTCTTTCCTTTTTTATCCAGCTCATAGTTGTTTAGTTTAGCTCGTTTCATCCATTAATTTCGGCTTTACCTATATTTCTTTCAGTTTCATACCTAGTAAAAATTTGTCTTAATTCTGATCATTGTATATTCTGATTTCAGACTTTTAGATCTAGGTTGAATGAAATCTGTCTTGGTGAAGGTGCCTTCTCTGATGTGCTATTTCAATTAGATGATGGGCTCTTCGCTGCTCATCGCGCTTTACTCATGGCTCGCTGCGACATGATGAAAGCAATGTTCTCAGGAGATTTCCGTGAAAGCAATGCCAAAGTGGTATGCTTCTATTTCCCCACCAAAGTACCCCTAGCAAACAGTTCCTAGACTCACTACCCGAGGACCTTTCAACAGTAACAAGCTAATTTCCACAAAATCGAAAATTACTTTAAACATTACATTTTTTCTGGAGTACCAAAGACAACATGTTGTTTAACAGACTAAGTGCAATAACAGATAATAGAGTAGTGTCTATAACGTCCAAAAGATAGCATTAGCAGTGCATTCTAAAGCAGTTTTCTGAATTAAAAATGTGAATAAGTCAAAATCAATTGTTTAACATTTAGCTAGTTGTGATAAGTCTTCACTTATTTGCACACCCCACTTAGAGTTCAGAACCTCTCCAGTCTTGATTGTATATCATTTGAGAATGCAGAGAATACGCGAAGAAGTGAGAAAACATCTTCTTAGAGCTGTGTCACATGAACATTTTGACACATACGATTTCCTAAAATTTTAAAAAACTACACTGGAATAATGATCGTTTAAAGTACTTAGTTTTGAAAAAGTGTGTTTAAAGTTTCATTTACCATGTTCAGGGCTCAAGATCATCGGATTTTAATTTAGCTTCATGATCTCAATTGGTAATCAACAAAAGTGAAAACAAAAAACAAAAATGGGCAAAACCGCTTGCAGCTTAATCCTCAAGATTAAAAAGCATGTTTTCCATCTGAAACTCAGAAGGTATTTCAATGAAATTGAAGAAGAATTTTTTTTTTTTAAAAAAAGAAATGACGTTTTGCATTTAAGGTTTCTTTTACTGAAAATGGTCATAACTTCAATTTTTTTCAGATTCTCTTTCCTGGAGTCAAGGAGGAAACTTTTGAACAATTAATGACTTTCTTGTACACGGATAAAGTTTCGTCTGATTTTCTCTATTGCAAAAAAACAGCTGCTGTTTCGCAGTCGAGACACCATGTTCTTGATATTTTAGAGCTAGCCAACCGACTATGTTTGCCAAGATTAGTTAACCTCATCGAGAAGAAAATAGTGGAAGAACTGATCTCATTATCAGGCACAAATGAATCTGAGATAGTCCAACACTGTATTCGCTTACTCGAGCCCTGTAAGGTATGCATAAACACTTTACAGTTAACACTGTAATTAAGTATCCATGACAAGCACTTTATAGTGCAGTTGTTCAAGACCATTAGAGTTTTGTAATGTCTAGCAGGAAAAATCATAAGAGTTGTTTACTGTCGTATCCAGTTGCCAAATTAAGTATGTTCGATTAAAAAGAATGGACTACAAGCCAAGGTATGAATTTAAGCATAATAGCACTTGTTTAATCTTCAAAATTTTCTGGAGAACTTGATTTGCACAGCAAATTCCACAGAGTAGGTCTTAACTAAAATATTAACATTTTCAATCAGCATTGGTTACCAAAAATTGTAATTTCCCGCTCACAAGAAAAACTAGAGTCGAAGTGAATGTAATTGCGCACTACAACAGTTTTGGCAGGCTTTTCATTGAGTGGTGTTTCTCACCTGCCCTGTGTTGTTCAAAGTGCTAACAACTAGCAACAACTGAGCTGAAGCGCAGAGATTAAGGTTGCCACATTTTTGTACTGCAGAGATCTTTACGATAGTGTTTAGTGTGTGCTTTAACTCAAGAAAATTATTATTTTTTTTTTTTTATTATCAACAGAAATTTTAAATTTGTGTATGAAAAATACGCTATTATTTTGGTTAGGAGTTACTGTCAGTAATTCCTATTGTACGAACTGCGCTCTACATGAAATGTTGATGTGAAAATGAACATCTTATTGCTTAAATTCGAACCTCTATTGGCGGCCCATTTCATTTCCACTTCAAAAATGTTAAAATGAGTCATGACTATACATGCTAGACTTGTTAATTGGTTCCTTTACTGGTTAATGATTTCCTTTCTATAAATTTTTTCATGCCTCGAGTCAACGCTGTTGGATTTTATGGATTAAACTCACTCACTGATGGCATATCAAAAATAGTTAAGCTGTTCAAAAGCATAGTTTTTTATCCATGGGTTAAAATTTTGAACTATGGTTTTTAATTTTCAAAATTGTCTAATAAGCCCAAGACTTAGGTGGTATTTTTAATGCTTCTAGTTACACAATGCTGATCAACTGGCAGACTGGTTGATGAGTTATCTTTGTGTCAATTATGATAAACTTTGCAAACTGTCACCCAAGCTCTTGCGAATGTTACATCCGGACAATCAGCTCTATATCACAGAGCAGAGGTGGCCTCCTGTTTGGTAAGTATCTATTTCAAGATATATTTGGACGAATTGAACATCATTTTGCAATTAGGAGCTACACTTGCTTGCTCAGTTTAGAAATAATGTATACACTGTTAGCTTTCCCATGCACATAGTGAAGAATGGTGTTTTTATGAATAAGCCAATAGCTCCCAATTGCATAATACAGTCTAATTTATGCTGACAGGAACTATGCGCATAGAGTTTATCTGCAACACAGTCCCAGTCAGCATGAATATGTCCATTTGATGCATCCATCTCTTATTTTCCTTTATTTGTTCTCACACTTAAATTTAATATTAACGCACTGTATTAAACTACAAAGCATAACTTTGAATATGTATATTGACGACTGAGCTCGAAAAGTGCAGCTCCCTCACAATATCTCAAAATCTCTGCATATGTTTTAGTTTTTTCAAAATTAAATTAACCAAAATATCACCTCGAAATTTCCTGGTAATATATTTAAATGAGCCAAGAAAATTCATGGAAAATTTAAAATAACACTATTGGTTAGTTTTCTGCTCAGAAAAGTAAAACTTTAGTGAAGATTTGGTACATTGGAATCAGAGATATGCATTTTTGACTTTACTTGTAGTGAAAAGATGGGTACAGGTTTGTGCAAAGCAGTGAGTCTGTATGCTTTTTCATGACTCAGACCGTGAAGCAACCAATGTTAGCTTTTGGTGGAGGGAGCTCTAGTTGGTTCGATAAGGTCATTCTCAGTTAAAATAGGCATTTGTTGTTCTGATAGAAGCTCAGAAAGTTCCAAGAAAAAAAAAACTGAACCCTTGAACTATCAAGAACGGAAAAACAAAACATCCCAAGTGCCAACAGGTGTGTCGCTAAGATTGTGTGAGTTGTTCTTCTGTCTTCTGAACTTTTCATGTAGAGAATGTTCTGAATTTTGGTCTAAATGATTACTAGAAATTCTGCTTTTTGGTCAATTGAAGACTCACTAAATGGAGAAGACAATTGTGCAATGCTCTGAGTATTCGCACAGTGGTCAATGGAAAGAAACGATTGTTTTTAGCTTGTCTCAGTATTAAAAAATTACGTAAATTAATTAATTTGTGTCAGAATGGAAAAGGACAACCCCTCACTTCTGACTGAGAACACATGAAAAAACTAGAAATTCTTTTTTTTTGACCAATCAATCCCCCTCTCCCTCAATTTTCCACTCTCCTTTCAAAGGTCCCTCATCAAAACTAGGTTTCACCAAAAGTTTTTATCAGGGGCTGAAAACATCTCTTTTTTTCGTTTTTACTGACACTGATGTTATAAAATTGGAAGGTTTTAAAATCATGTAAGTTTTAACTTAAATATCCGTATTTCTGGAATTTCTGTTGTGAATCTTAATTTTTATGTTTTAGGTATTTAAAGGACTACGACAACTATGAAAAGTGCAAAAGCGAGCGTGAAAAAGAGGACCGACTGTTGTTCAAACGAAGCTCCTCGCCCTCCGGGTGCCTGTGCTTCTCGAGCAGTAGCAAAGCAAGTCGAACAACGCCTGCTAACCATATGTCTTTGACATCATCAAGTGACCGACCGCCTCCTCAGATTGTCGTCGGGTTTACGCTTGCATGACCCAAAATGTTAACCTTATTTTTCATATTTTGCTTTGTAAGTGTCATGCTATTGTCCATCATCATTTTTTGCATAGAGCTATGGGTTTTATAGGGATTCGTTCAGAGGATAGAACATGTCATAGCTGGTGTATAGGGCCGTTCGGTTTCCTGACTAATGTCACACAACAAAGAAATGAGAAGAAGGGAAGGATCTTGCATTGTGACACTATGCAAAACTGAGGACAAAGTGGCCATGATCCCCAAAAATTCTTAGCAGAAATTTTTCAATAGTATCAGGAAAAATATCAGCAAAAAAATCTAGCAAAACAAGAAGTAATTTTTAGAGAATGCATGAAGAGGGCAAAAGATAATAAAAAATGTTGAAGTTGCAGTGTGATTTAACTCTCGAATGGATCTTAGTTTTATTTGAATGTCTTGTTAATGTGAAAGTCAAATATTTTGTAAAAGTGTTTTTTTGAAAAACTGAGTTAAAAATATTCCAAAAATATTTGTCCGCAGGAATGTCAATTTTGCCACAAATCTAAAAGACTATGGGGAAATTGAAAACTTTTCTTATACTACATGCGTCCTAACTTCTTTTCTAATTTTTTTTCATTTCACCCATCACAAGTACATGAGTAACTTTTTCACCTTTGTAATGGCTCATTTATTTCAAACACTTTTGTTCAAAAATTAATAAACTTCTTATCAAACTCATTTCAACAAATTCATTTTCAGAAGTGAACGTTCGAAAAAAAGCCCTCCTGAACATGAAATGATTTTTTGTGTAATTTTGGGTGTCTTTTGACGAATGTAGGTGTCTCTTGAATTTTTAAGGTCAACAGTTGTCAGTCAGTGTTGTTAATAATCAGAAACTTCCATGAATTTGTCCCTTTATGAGCTGTAAGTTTAAGAATCAAGATCTCATTTTCATAGCAAAATTTTTTTCAAAGCATTAATGACTAATCGGAGGATATTCAATCTGCTTTGATTACAAGTCTTCTAATTTGAAGCAATTTTTTAAATTCTGTATTTGTGGACAAAATTTACATCAATGCTTAAAGTCCAAACCTCCGTTCCTGACATCACAGAATTTCATACTTTATTTTTTCCTTGGAAATCTAGTCAATGTAATATCTTGAACACTTGATTGATTTTTCTACCCTGGTAGCAGGAGGATTTTCTTGTCAGATGCCTTGTTTCTTTTCAAAAAAGTAAAGCAGAGACTTTGAAACTCCAAAATGGAAGTACGTCGTAAGTACGGAAGTAAGTTTTGCCATTGATATGCGCCATTATTACAAGAACTTTTTGTTTTTCAACTTTGGCCGATAATATTTGGATGGATCCAAGTAGAATCAGCCTAACTGCATCTTATGTTGTTTAATTTCCTCTCATAATTTACCTTCTTTACAGACAACTAAACTACTTAATATCTTTAAACTTCCAGTGAATTTAAAACTGTAGATTATGAACATCATACCTGTAAATTTTCAAATTTTAATGTTACTTTGTTTATCTGTTTAAAAAATAAAACATGAGAGAATATTAGGAAACATGGAATGTATTTAGGCCGTTTCTGGCTAAATCCGTCCATTTCATCAAATCATAATAAATTCAAGTAGGTTGTGCAATAAATTCGAATACTGGTAAAAGAGCCCATGCCAATATTCAGATAAACTCACAATCAATATCTAAGTTTACCAATTTTGTGTTCTAGTTCTCAGCTTTATGCCGATTACTTCTCTCATTCTAGAATTCAAATTTTTCATTTTAGCGTTTCTTCAACATTTCTCTACACTCTGTAACTGATCTACAATATTGTTGTAATTTTTAAAATTTGTACTCTTTGCACCGTAGGTACTGCTGTAGACTCTGGTAGTCTTTTATTCTCTGCTCATAGCCAGGAAATTACTAAATAGCCGTACTTTTTCCAGTTGTAAGATTCAATAGCCTCAGTAATGCTGTTTTCAACTGCGTATTGTATACTTGTAGTCATTCAGTTGATGTGTATACATAATTTTTAGCAATACCTAAATGCAATTGGTTCAATTATTTCTCAATTATTTTGCTGAATTAGCTTAGGGTCTCGTGTAAGCATTCCGAGTAGGTACTTATGAAGTTTACAATTACTATAAATATTTTAATGTAAAGACACTCTTAGTGATAATATGACCTGTGATAATTTTCGATAAATTAGAGCATTTCGCTAATTGCAATTCTTTTTTGGTGCCAGGTAAAAGCTTTTGAAGCGCGATATATTTAGGGTGGCAACTCCCGGCAGCAACCTCTTTGATTAGCTTCAAAGTATCATCCCCATCTGTAAGAAAAAAAAGCACCATAAATCGACTCTCATATTTTTTTTGTACTTTTCTGGTTTTTTAGTAATTTTCGTCTCTCCTATACTCTTCTATGAGAGTAGAGTTTAGTTTCTCAATTATATTATATTTGTATGGAAGACATCAAATTCTATATTGTAGTTCAATCAAAGGCATTAAGTTCAAACGTAAGTTAAGGAAATAGCTGATCGGCAGCAGGAAAATAATTCTTTGGAATCTCTCCTGAAACATGTGAGTTTTTCTTAACTTATTCCATGAGTTTTTGGTTTCTCATTTCGAATTTAATTTGTGTTTTTCCAGTTCTGTTATCTTCAGTCTTACGCTTACACCTTAATTTTTTGCTTTTCCGCTGCTAATTAAATCAACATTAGTTGCTTTAAATCATCCAAACTTTCTTGAATGTACCTAATACTTTTCTTATTTTGTTTAATGACTTTATTTGATGAATGAATATCTTCAACTTTTGATAAAATAGATGGTGATATTATCAATCCTCTTTTTCAAAACAATAGGTTTGTCCTTTTCTTATGCTTCTACTCCGTGTCAAATAGTTAATCTGTTCCGCATTGCGTTCATCTCGCTAGCTTTACTCTTTCCTCAAATCAGCCTTTTGATTAAGAATATGATCCAAGTAAAAAGATTAAAATTAGATGGACATAGGCACTAGAGAGAATTATGTGATTGAAAATCTATGCTTAAATCAGAACCGAGTCAGAAGGTATTTAATGGTTGTCTTCCGAGGAAAATCTTTTTGTTTAGAAGTTCAGTTTTAGAAAAATATTTATTTGCTAAAAACAGACCAAAATCATCAAGCAAAATTTTGAATTTTTGCAGTCGTTTTCTGAATAATGCACTTGATTATTTGATTGCTGCGTCTCCTAGATACCTAATAAATTTTGACTCTTAGTTTATCACGCAACCATCAGCCATGTCTCAACTATTCTATTAATTTGTAACTGTAAACATTGTTAACTTCCATTTACATTGTTTTATACGTTTTTATTCTTCTAAGTATAGCTTGTAAATTTTATTCTTAAGATAATAATCCATACATTGAAAGTAGGAAAGTTTTGTAGACTTCTTGAATCATTTTTGGAACAGTGACTGTATTGAGCAGGAATATTCTGTAAAGTTAAAGCGAGTAAGTCCGCCATCCCAAAGCAGCAAGTTGGCGACCAAAAGCAGCATGACGACCTGACATAGGAATTCTGATCAAAGTTCAAGGAACTTTAAGTTTAAACTCTTGCCCATATTATATCCAGGAGTAGGTAGGCTCTTTTAATATTTCCGATCAAACTTCTCTCCTATTGTCTTTAACAATGTTGGCTTCCCCATGTTAGAGAGAAAGTTGTCCTCTTTTTGTTGAATTTGTTACCACTGATTTGTGTGTACATGCGGTAGGAGAAAATTGTGCAGTACATATACATATTTGGGGTTCCGAAAACTTTGTAAAACACTATGGGGTTTAAGACAGACGTCATAAGAAGTATGCTTTGAACAGCTGTCACTGATTTTTTCCATCAATTTGAAGTTATTTAGTGCCATATATTTTTAAATAGTGAGTTTAGGTTACTGAATTTTTGCTTAAATTTAATTAAAATAAAGCTCTTTTCTATTTTATTCCATATGATGTGTACTTTCCTCTTTCTTTATTCCCAACATTTACACAAAGCTTTGAAGACATTCAAATATAAACCAATCTCTTGTGGGTAAGGCTTCAAATTAATACTGCAGTGGGACCTATGGGGGAGTGGTTTTGTTGACTAGATTAGGAGCAACACAAGATTTTATTTTTTAACCATTTAAGAAACTTTAACCTAAACTTTACACAACATTTTAATTGCGGAGACCTGAGTGTAATCAAATAAAGACTGGTGCTCTTCGCCTCTCAGTCTGGCAAAACATGAAGGAGTGGCCATGCATCTTTTTATGGCAGGAAACTTCTGTTTTTTGAAAAAGTCCAATCCAAAGCACAGTCAGAACTGTCTGCAAAAAGTATTTGCACGCAATTGAATTAAACACACCTATTGAATTGTGTTGTCTAATACTTTTTACCTTACCGCAGGTCATTAAGAGCTAGGTATAATCCTCTGGTCTGCTCTCAGTACAGTATGGTAGAATGGTACGAAGACTGCGAAGTCTAGCTAGTCCACTGAGATACTATCTCATTATTAGGTAAATCATCAAATTTATCTCGGGAATTGAAAATTTTAAAAAATCTAGATGAGGAGTTTTCTGTCAAGAGTCAATTATGTAATGAAGACCCAAAGTAAAGTAAATTCCTTGCAGGAGCATCCAGCCTTCATTTTTTTCATTTAAAATCATGAAAATGTTCAGGCTCTTGATGCCAATTTAGGACCTTTTTTTCCATTTGATTCAATTTTGGCAGTAAACTTTACTTGACTACTTTTTGGTCAATTTTGACTCCTCATTTCAAACCTGGAGGCCAACTCATACTTTAGCCCAGTAAAACACAAAGAAATGAGTTTACAAATTCAAATTCAAATACGTTTATTTCACTTCAAGCACAAATTTCACAGCCAACTTTAACAAAAATTACAGAATATAAAAATAAATTCATCCTACCACCCTTTAAGTAAGACTTGTGGTGGGTGGTGCAACCAAGGAAAAAAAAACACAATGTAACATATCTTTAATCACAGACTCGATTTCAAAATTTTCAACAGAAATAAATGATAAAAGTTAAACGAATTTAAATAATAATTAATTTAAGCAGCAATAATAAAAATTAAAGGTGTAAAAGAAATTTAGATAATTTAGATTTTACAATTTGAAAAAGTTTGAAACAGTGATGTGTGAAGCAAAAATGGGGGGGGGGGGGAGTAGAGTACACGGCGCTTAAGTGCAGTTTTTGATAAAAATCGAAGTATTATTGATTTGAATTAAGTAAAACCAGTCATAATGCCTAGGTACTCTGTAAAAAATTCGCTCCCGAATTCCAATTTTTAAGCATGAAGTCAGTTGGAATTTTCTTCCTGCTATAAGGATCCAATGTTATTCCGAAACTTCAAACACGTATTTCTCGTAATGGAAACAACTGTACTCATGCGTCTAGTCCTCCAAGCCCCTCAAATGGCACATCTCACTAATGTTGATATCAAATAGCATGAATGTGTACAGCAGGACTTTTCACCTTTAATATGCGGTATCCATCAGTCAGGGGTGGTTTTTGAAATTTAATTGTTCAATTTCATATCATCATTTCAATCTCCTTCACTATCTTTTATTATAATAAACGTAAAATTATTTTCTTTTTATATCTCTGCACCTGTTGCGCGCGAGCGACGCATGAGCGTTATTTTAAATTATGCGCGCGCGGGGGAAGTAGTTTATAGAGTGTCAACTAGGTGCCGCTCCTACTTTTAACGTTGCCAAGTGTACATCCGCAATAAGTCAAGGACATTATTAGAAGTATGTAATTAGAATTCTTTTCCCTCATTTTCTTGCGTGATAAATTGTTCAAAACCCTTTAAGGATATCTTAGAAGAGGGTTTCTGCTCAATTTAGAGATTATTCAAACCGTTTCTTTCCCAGACACGAGTTACAATCGTTCAATGTAATTAGTTTCTGTATTTCAGGTATTCGGCAACATTGCTATTTACACTGAGGCGAGTGGAGGATCTACGAAAGGGGGGGGGGAGAGGAATCTGCGAACCCAAACAAAAATAAAAATAAATCTTCGTACGCGTTATCTCAAAACTGAGAAACTGAGAAAGGAAGTTGAGTGAAGTGCAAGTGTGTGAATATTCACTTCAGAATGCGAGCAACGTGATCATGTGTTCTCTTTAGTTACTTAGTGATTTCCTCTTTAATTCAATTTGAGCGCGATCTGTCGGCGGTATTACCGCTATCTTAATCCTGTTGTGCGTAGGTCCTGTTACTCCTGTTATCAGTGTTATCAATCCAGTTATCAAGCTAGACATCGAGTTAGTATATATTGTTCTCCACAATTTTTTCGATGGCAAGTACTTTATTTTTACAAAATCTGAAAATGTCCTTCTAATGGCATCCCTTTTCTCAGAATGGAGAATGTGTGTAAATGACCCATAGACTACTAATTTTATATCTAGGTAATTGATCGGCAATTCAAAACACTTTGGGTCCCGAAAGGCGACTGTTTGAAATGTGAACGGGTGAACGTAGTCTCCCACACTCTGCAGAATACTCATATCTCTATCAGAGGTGTCTTTCTCTTTAATTTGATCTCTATAAAGAAGGAACCCAAAACACCAGCATAATCAAGCTTTGCACCACATGGCTGTGGTTGGTGCCTCTGAGAAAAGATAAGCATTGTAAACTTGAAATTGATTTTAGAAAAATCCAAATCACTGTGCAGGACAGGCAGGAACTACAATAATTGTGGAAGTGGTTTGTCAAAAGCTACTAAAAATAGGTGCAACAATTGGGAACAGTTGTCCGTTCCACATGGTGTGGTAGATGGAGGATGGCGTACACTGCTGTCTCCATCAGATGAAAATATTTTATGGACTTACCTAAATTCCGTTTTGAGGTTAGCGAAGAACAGGCGCACCAGCACTTCTTATGAATTCATGTAATTATGCATTCATGTTCCCCAGCCTAAAGTCATAAAAACTTGAGTATTTATCTTTAGTGAATGGTTATTCATTCGTAATTCAAAGTCAGAAACACTGTAAAAAGTCATCATGGATTATTTCCTGTCATTGATGTGATTTAGAGATAAATTTCAAAGGGCAAAACCAACCTGAATCATTAGACCTGTTGATTAAGGAAGAAGTAGAGTACCACATATTTTCTTGTAAAAATGTACTCCCAAGATACAGGTAGAAAATTTCTATAGGTAATGAAGCAGACTAATTAGTGACAAAGTAGCGTGAGTCCATATCAACTCAGTCTGTTCAAATTTCTTAACTATCAAAACCTACATCGATCTGTCAACTCAGCCATTAAAACCAGACTCATCATCTGGCACGGAACTTGCATTAAATTTCAAAAAAATTCCCTTTCGCCTCTTTCTTCTGTACTTACAAAGTAAAAACGTATTTTGCTTGTGTTGTTTCAGTATTTTCTTACCATCATTTTATTTTTTTTTATCGGAGAGCGGTCACACGAATTGGCTTGACATTTTTAGCGACTTCAAGTAGCTTGTGAGGAAGAAAACCTTTGTACTTGAAAGTACTTAAAAGCACATCAAGAAAAATAAGCTCACAGAAAAAATTCCTTTGTCTGGAAGTGTAGCGATAGGAATTCGATACCTGATTTGACTGGAGCAGAAGTAAGTTTGACCATTGCAAAGTTTGATGTAATGAACCGAGAACATACTAATTTCTCACTTGATAACCTCGGTGAACTCTTTGCGGTGATCTTGTAAATCTTCAATGTTTCCCCAGTATTCTCTCTGAAATAAGAGAGTATAGTACTATTTATTGTTATGTATGATTTTCACCCTGTCCAATGTTCTATCATCAATCTTATGTACTTATTTTTCTGATTTTTCTTTAGATGGCTGCTGCTCAAGAATGTGGAAATCAGTACTCTCTGTCCAAAAAGGAAGATACTTCTATGAGAAGAAGTGGAGGTAGAGGATATCCAAAACTACGTGGAAGAGGAAATATAACTAGAGGTCGCAGTAGAAGTTACAGTCATCATGGTCAAGCCTCTTATTTCTCCCCAAACTCATCAAGCTTCAGATTTCAGAACTCATTTTCCAGTCCAGATTCTGATCCAGTAGGCACAGCACGTGATCGTCTCACTAATTTTGACCATTCCGCCAGCAACTCTAACGGTTTCAAATCACAGAACCTAGTTTTCAGTCCAGATATTGATTCAGTAGGTGCAGCACATAACCGTCTTACTAATTCTGACCGTTTCGCCACCAACTCTAAAGGCTTCAAATCACAGAACCGATTTTTCAGTCCAGATTCTGATGTAGAAGATACAGCATATAGCCGTTTCACTAATTCTGACCGTTCCTCCACCAACTCACCAAGCTTCAGATTCCAGAACGGATGTAATAAAAAATTGGATTCCTCACCGAAAAAGTTTAAGTACTTTCCCGATCCATACAATGCTGGTAGTAATACAAATTCTGATGAAAAACCCAACTTTCCATTTAAAAATCAGAAGTTTTTTCCCGAGCCTCGTAATGTTTGTTGGGGTGGTGATGCTGATAGAAACCTCAACAATAAAAAGCACCGCAACTTTATTAAGGCCACAGGTGAGAACAGTTCAACTACGACCAATGCAAACAGAGTTACCAATTCTAGCCCAACTTCTGATGAAACTCCAAGCTGTTCCTGTAATGATGTTAGCTTGAGTGATCTGTTAGCTGCTCTGAATGACAAGTTTTCTGAAGAAATGAATATGATTGAAAGTCTTGATTCTGAAGTTACCAACACATGGTGCTATATAAAAGAGATTGCAGATGTTGGTATCGAAGATATGGATCTTTCCGGTTTTCAAAAACAAAGTAATTTTGCTGAAGAAAATAACTTTGCTCAACCTTCAGTTTCAAGGTAATGTATTTCTATTTAAATGTGACAATCTCCAGTATACCTACCTACACTATTGTATGAGACATTCAAATAAGGGCTTTATTATGCATTTTTTTAATGTCATCTTTTCATGCGTTGCAGCATACTTCCTCCTAAGATCACTTTAATAGGCAAAAACTCCAGTCCGATTGTTAAATCAATGATACTGTGCCAATATAAATGGGCAGAGAAAATGCAGAAGCATTACTTCTGACAATAATTTGATGGTTTTTTGGAGGGAACAATACATTTAAGAAAAGCACCAAAACTCTCACTGTATTTTTTAAAATTTTTGGAAAGAACTTGGATCTTCTCTACAATTTATGAAAAAAAAAAAAAAAAAAAAAAAAAAAAAGACCACACCGAACTGTAGAATGTTATTCAACCTTAAACACCCACCTCCACTATGGAAAGACCTTCCCATGCTATTTCAAAGATTTAAAGCATAATTTACTGAATGCTGAAAGCCAAGTGTTGGCATAAAATGTTTCTTATTTATATAACTTTAAGTATTCATTTTCTGAATCCGTTGGTTTCTATTTCTACGTTAATTTTCCAAATGTAAATCTCACATATTGAAAATTATGTCATCTTTAACAGTCGCCATCATCTGTAAGTAGTTGAAATTGACGCCGATGAGATGAGGCATCTGGTGTTTGGATATATGATTATCAATGGAAAAATTATTATTCCATGAAATTTTAATGAGTAGTGAATATGTTAGAACTACTGTTTCAATTATATTTGAGCCCCATCCAAGGTTTTTTTTATCAGTTCCTAAATCTAGTATTTTTTTTATTTTTTTCAGAGAACGGACAGCTTCTGATGAAATTGAGGTATTGTGGCAAGAATTTGAATCTTTAGAATCCAAACTCTTCCAAAAGAGAAATGGTGAGAAAAATAGCAACTTGAAATCAAAACCAGCAAAAAATTCACAAGATGAGCAAGAAATTTTAAAATCGAAACCAACAAAAAATTCACAAGATGAGCAAGAAATTGAAGGTCTTAAGACCACCATTGGAATTTTAACAACTCAACTTCAAAAAGACAAAAATAATTTTGTAAGTGAATTGAACAATTATTTGTATCACCTTTTTACAAAGAGATCAAAGTTATATGCAAGGGAATTTAATTTCTGAAGTTTTATCAAAAATAGCCAAAAGAACCAACAGTTTTACTAAGCTTTGTGGAATGAAAAAATTCAAAATTTTCAAAGTCATAGATCTTGCTAGATAATCGAGTGAAAATATTTGCATCCTCTGTACTATCCATCTAGTTATCGCAATAAACAAAATGAATCATTTGATCCACTTCTCTGCTTCCGGACTCATTTTTCTAAAAAATTTTACTTTCCAAATTTTGTCATTATTTTTCAAGTATCAATCAAGTTTCAAGTAAAAGTGTGTTTCTGAATGTACAAAATCAAGAAATGCAATCCCAGGATTGCAAGATCGGGCATTCCCTGCTCTGCTGCTGTAAGATTCTTGAATCACATCGCTGCTTACCAGCTAGTTGTCGTTGTGCGTGGTCAACTTTTTTTCATGCTAAGGTCATATTCATCCTTTATAAACTTTATTTTCAGAATACCAAGTTAGATAAAATCCAGAATCAGCTAGAAGGGCGCATAGAAGCTATCAACGCCACCCTCAAGAAAGAACGGGAGGTTTGTAATTAAATTATTCAAATTATTTTCAATGGTCATACTCGGAAGTCTCATAATCTCTACTCTTGTTTCATTTATTGCATATTGGCAAGGGGCCAACTTCTTATGTTATTACCTAGTGTTAAAGAACATTCTATCAGGAGAAAATTCACAAAATTTTTTTAAAAAACTACATCAATAAGTTTGAGGATTAAAAAATAAAATAAAACAGAAAACAATCAGTAACATTAGAAATCGAGACACTCTTCTGTCTCGGCTACCCATCAATTTGCTTTCTTATCCTTTTCTTTCCTTGGTTTTGAATTAGTTAGCCTCTTCTTTGATATAAGAAGATGTGTCAATTTTCCGAAAGTGTGTGAATTTAAGTCAGCTATGCACGAAGGAAAGGAGCTAATTCATATAAAAGCAGGAATCTTTAAAATTTAATGAGAAAATTACTTCTAATTATCTATCTGCCCCAAAATTCGTAGGATTTTGCTGTCTCTCAAGTAGGTAATTAGATTAAAGAATTTTATAGTTCAATCTGTAAATTGCAATCTTACCAACCCATCCCATAGCAAGGGTGCCGAAAGTTCCTTGTAAAATAGGAAGGCTAGATAGCCTTTCTATTTTGCCAGCTGCCCATCCCATTTTTCAAACTGGCCTTCCCATCTTGAAAATTCTTTGCCCCCCAAAACGTTCGAAGTCATGATCTTCAAATTGATGACCAAAAAGTGAGACCGCGTATCACCATCGCAGTGTCTCAAAATTTCTGCTACTTTTTTATTTGGAAGAAATTTTCTCTGGTTTTAAAGGTTTCTAAAATGCAAGGGGTTTCAAGGCATCTATAGGTTCATAGAAAATTTAAAATTTGATGAGAAACCTCAGTATCTCGCATTTCCCACATCAATGTTGCTGCGACAGGTGTCATTCAAAGGTCTGACCGGACCTTGGGTTGACTCTGCATCATCACTATTTCCCAGGTTTAATTTTGATTTCTATGGTCTGTTAAGTTGCCAAGGCATTTAACATATTTATTTGTTATGCTATTAATTTTTCCTTTTTGTGGCTAATTTTTTTTTTTTTTTTTTTTTTAATCCCCTTCTGCTCTTGTTCACTCTTGCAGTTGAAAATCTTTTCCTCTCTTTACACTGTCGTTTTCAACTCCAGTATTACGGCTCTAATATTTATTGTATCTTGATAATCTGGATTTCCTCTTTGGAACATTTCCTTACTATATCTTTGGAAAGTTCCACTTTTTACAAATTTTCTCTTCAATTTTTTTTTTTTTTTTTTTTTTTTTTTAAATGTAATTGATGTCTCCCCTCCCCATAAAAATTCTGAAAATGACTCTTTCAATCACTTCACACCTAATTAATAGATTAGATGTATTATGCTCACAAGGTCAAAGATTCCTTTGATCTTCGGTCTTTCACTCTAATTGTGAATGTAACTTTTTGTATTTCTCCTCTTACAGATCAATAAGGAACTACAAGAAAAAATGAAGAGAGGATATGAAGGTAAAACAATTATTAAATAACTTCCTTTAATTTGGACAAGCAATAATGATCCAGCCACCCTGAATTTTTCCAAATTTAATTTCTACACTAAACCATATTGTGTCTCAGGTCAAGTGATGTGTACTGTCAACCAAATATTTCATAACTTTTTGTATTTGCCTGAAACAATTCTAAACTGTGTGCAATACTAATCATGCCAATGAATTTCAAAATATCTGTGATTGCTCTGAAGTAATAACACTGAGTGAAGTATTGTCCTTGCGGTGGAATTGAAGTTGGAATTTCATTTATGAGAGCCTTACAAAGGTTTCGGATGCATGCACAATTAGGCCCATCTTAAAATGCAGGTGCAACAATTCAGATAATTTATGTGTCGCTTAAAAGAGTAAAGTTGTTAACTTCAAACCATCATAATTCCACTTGAATTCGACTTTAGTGGGCATACTTTTGGCTAGGGGCATACTACAGTCTTCAGTTGTGTTTTGGTCCTCCTGAGCATTAAGCCACTGTTTATTTTGGTCCATAACTTGCACTTGTAAAAATTAGCGTTGTGATCTTTGTAGAATACGTACTACTCTATAATTTGGTATCAATAACTCAATGTTGAGTTATTGTAAACCAAGGTTCTTTTTCGAGTGTATGGTCAAAAATACATGATACAATCATACACGATGCGAATACTAAGCACATGTTATTATGTTTTACTTTTGTAGACATGATTCAAACTATCAAGGCTGAATATACAACCAAATTGGATGCTCACAAGGCTGAAAAAGAAGAATTAGCGGAGCAGCTAAACCTTCAGCTGAACCTGACTGAGTCCCTAGCGAAAGAGGCTGAAGACCTCAGGACTCAAATGGAATCAAACAAGAGGCTTACTCTTCAAACGATCAAAGAAACCTTAAAAGACAATTGCGAGTGCTCAATTTGTCTTGGTATTTGTACTAAGGTATGCAAGTCCTCTCTCCTTATTTTCCTCACAATTGACATTGAATTTTTGATAAGTAGATTTCTAAAGACAATTTTTGGTAAGGGATCCTCCTTGATAAAGCTATTTAATTACTAAATGCAATGGACCACCAGATAAGGTGCAAACTAAGCATTATGATGTAAGTCTTTTTGTCGAAATGTCAAGTAGAACACAATCTGCACAAAGGGAATCACTGAAAGTATCCCCTGACAAAGATATAAACGTTTTTCAATGCATAAATTTAAAACTCCCGCTCACAGAAGGAACAATAATCTATTTGAGTTAAATCGCCCTTTAAACGTCACCATAAGAGTCTTTGCAGTATGAAAATGTGACAATCTCGATCTCGGTGCTTTGGCTCAGCTGTTGCAGGGTTTTTAAACTTTGAACAGCTTTGGAAGGAACACTTCTTGATTGGGTTGCCAAAATGATTGTAGCATGTGATTTAATTCCAGTAGATTCTGTTTCTCATGTGAAATGGAATTTCAAATTTTTCATATCAAATGCTAAGTAAAAGGTTATCATCTTGGTTTGGAGTTAATACAAGTTATTTTCGTTGAATGAATCGTGTTCTACTCAAAAGTTGAAAGAGGAAACGTACATCAAAATGCGTAAATTCGTACCTTGTCTAGTGGTTCATGGCTATTGATTGTTTGATTTACAGCTCTTTCACTGATAAAGAGCTATTATTTTCTATCGGAGTCAGGAAACATTTCCTTGTATTCTGTCTTTTCTTTGCTGAAGAAGTAATCTCTCTTGCCTTCTGCCGTCTTATCTATCTGTCAATGTGTGTAGGAATGTTGTACAATGGTAAAGAACCCAGAATTTTAAGTCTCTTGAGCTTTATTTGGGAATTTTTATTAATATTTTAAGTGCCACTAACCCAAAACTCACTTGTACTACTTATGACATTTTCTTCACCTACCTCCTTACTTTGTCTTGCAGATTTTTTTGCGTTAAAATTATTTGATTGTCCTCGAAAAACTAGATCGAAAGTCTGTTTGAAGCCCCTGTGTTTTTAATTGGTAGAATCTGACTTGAAAGCATCACGCCGTACATACTTGCAGTGTAGCATTGCGCTGTTCCAGTATTTCCTTTTGACATTTTCCATTTTTTATAGGAGATCTATCGCATGAATTCCCCTGAAATTTCTAAAGATTTCTCTTTATGCTTGCAAGAAAAGACAAAATTTTCAGACTAATGTGTGGGATGGTTCTCCTTAAAAAGAAATAGAAGAAATACAATGAAAGATAATGTTAATGAAGCAGCACAGACTAGCTATGTTCCTTTGTGAGAGGCAACGAATTTTTGCTTGAATCAACGGTAGAATATAAATTTCGGTGAAAGTTTGTTAGTGTTCTTCGATACTTTGTGAATTTGTATTTGTTTTGACTGCATGAACCCTGTATACATAGTAATCTTTTATTATTTTTTCAATTTGTTTTCTCTCAGGCTGTGATAACATCTTGTGGTCATACATTTTGTAAGAGATGTTTAGAGGGATGGCAAGCTTGGCGGAACGAAAACCAGATGTGTCCCAATTGTAGGGCAGTTTGCACTTCTAGTAACATTTATTTTTTCAATGAGCTTATTACTCAACTTCAATTGAAGTTCCCAAACATGGACTGGATTCCTTCCTCATGATATTGTGATAGTTATTTTAACTTTTCTGATTTTTCTATGTTTTCCTTTAGTAAGTCCTAAAGTAAGTCACTTTGAAGTGATCAACTCAATTTTCAAGTTACCTCTTGTTGCAAATTGTTGTACTTGTTTCTTAATTGTGGAATATTAATTTTACCAGGAGAGAGGCCGACTATCTTGACCTCATCAACGTTTCCTATCAATGATTCGAATGTTACTCTTGTTGCTGCCTTCTACTCATTTAATCACTGAAAAAAGTTAATCCCTTTATCCAGGGCGGAGAAACACTAGCTTCAGTGCGTTAACTTTTTCTATTAACGGTTTAAATTTAAATAAGTTGTTTCATCAGATTTAAATTTTATCATCTGTATCAGATGTACTTTAAAGGACTGTCAAGGCGCTGACAAAATTGCTGAAGTCAGCTCTTGAGAAAGAAGGAAGCCTTTCAAAAGGTAGCAATTTTTTTCACCCCCTTTTCAGCGGTAGAAAAGTTTGTCGAAGTTTGGCTCAAAATTTGTCTTGTGGTGCCAAATTTTCAAACTAAAATGTTACAATGTCGGCCAGTTAAAGTTGGATTTCCCATAAATTTAGGTAGCTTTGACCTCTTGCATATCCAAAATCATGCCTTCGCATAGTCTGTGCTCAATTTATTTTTAAGTGCTGTGTCCTTAGAAGCTGTGAACCAATCTAGAAGTCAACGAACATTTCCATTGCCAAAAGAGAGATGCAACCTAGGGAAATGTTTCAAAATCTACCAGTTAGCAGTTTTATGTTGAATCATGATTCTAATTAACTATTTACTTGAGCAAATGACAGACAATTAAAGTTGTGCTGCTTAAGTAAATTTCTGTATCTGATGTATTAGTTTTGTTTTATCATCCCGATGGCTAAAGTCGAATAATCTGCATCTCTCATCGCAACATTATGAATTGCCATCGGTGTTCAAAGTGGTTTCAGAGGAACTAACCAACATTTTTTTTGAAATGTTCTGTGAGTTTTCTTTGCTCATTTGAAGATATTTCCAGAAAATTTCAAAGAGGTATTTTCGTTTGTTTCCTCTCAAAAACATCAAAGATCCTGAAATATTGCCAAGGAGGTCCACATTTTTTTACTTCAGCCATTGGCGCATTGATTTTCAATGTAAAAGGCTCAATAGACCTACTTACATTTAGAGTTAAGTTAATTAGGAAAGTACGATGAGAGCATTTATATCCATTCTTATCTACTATTTTTTTTACTACATCAACTCGTTCAATTCAGTTCAGTCTAAGTCAAGTGATATGTAACCTTGGAACTTAAAGTCTCCAGGTTTGAAATGCTCCTTGTAAAGGTTGTTACCATTACCTATTTTTTGTTTATCTTTTATTTACTTTTTTTGTATTACTCTATAAATTGCTTTGTATTATAGATATATTTTAAGGCAGTTACCTCTTACACTAGGAAATAAGTCTGAGAGTTATCCAGGAAGTCCTGGCACATTTTGATCTCATTCAAAAATTATTCCTGGTAGAAAATTTCTGATTTCATACACATATGATTAGTCATACGCTCAGTCTTAATGTAAGTCCTAATTCATCATAATTTTTGAGACAAGAAGCGCAAGAGGGCTTTTTGTCTATGCTGCTATATCAGCAACCACTATGTAAACAATTTCAAAACCAGTGGAGATTTGCGTCTGAAAGACTATACGTTCATCAGCAAGATCATTTGGACCGCGTTAAACAGAAAGGAACCAAGCCACATCAGCTATTGCCAAATTTGATTGGGCAATTTAATTTTTGACATGAAAACGGTTGTGCGGATTTTCGTGCAAATTTCAGTGGAAATTCTCCATGGTACGAAGCAAATTCCTTAAAATTTTCAAAGAAATCCGAACAAACGTTCTCTCGTAAAAAATTTAATTGCTCAGTTAAACTTGGCAATAGCTGATGTGGCTTGGTTCCTTTCTGTTAAACTCGGTCCATTTGTTCTTTATTTTTACGGAGAATACAACTAGATTGCATCTGTATAAAAAAGCCAAAAATGTTGCGCTGTTACTAAGAGTATACTAAAAAAACTTGTGTTAGATTACACATAAACTGGAATAAGGTCTGAAAATGATAAATATACTGTAATCTTTTATTCATCACTGTATCATTATTTATCTTTGGGTGTATGTAGTATGCACCTGTTAAAATTTTCAAATTTTCTTGCAAGACGCAAAAAGGTGCATATTGAGAGACGATGGCAATGATCTTGATTCCTTGTTGCAAAACGCAGTCCACCTTTCCGATAGTCAACATGGAAGTTAAACAATTCTTTGGTCAATCCATCCAATTCTGCATCCTTGCATTTTGGAACTCTGTCAACCGGGTTTTGAATCATAATTTACAATGATGTTTTTGACAAGATCGTTTGTGTCTACCTTATCCAGTGGAGTATCTCCTTTAATCGAAAGGAGGTCATGCATTTTGAAATTTAAGGAAGTCATTGAAGGAGACAAAAAGATACACAAACGATAAGTTCCGAAGAGTCAGTCTAAATGTTCGAAATGCAACAAAAAGATCTTTTACGCACAGAAATTTAGGAACTGCCGTTTCAACCGCAAAAATGCAGAATTTTCAACGGTGACTATGTTGAAAAGTTATTTTCAGGTAAAAGGAATGGATGCATTTATTCTTGAGAGGAACATATTTTCTCTTACTGGCTGACACATCCCACTTGTCCCTGATTTTCAATGATAAGAATTTTCCAACTTTGAATAATTTATGGATACTACCTACTATTTGATCAAGATGTGGTAGGCTTTATAAGTAACTTTATTACTAGATCAGGCTTATCGAAAGGTATCTCAAGTTATGTTTTAATTTTTTTCTTTTGTCAAATTCTGAAAGATTCTGAAGCCCTTTGCATTTTGAGTGGCATCACAAATTTTGTTTAAGCCAGGATTTTATAATTACTAAGTAATGCAAAATGTCGCAATTCTGATTTATTTTTTGTAAATTCCATTCAACTGTGTGTGCCATTCAATATGTGCCTTATCAATGTTTCAGTAAATTATGAAGAATTGTAAAATGTGCTATTTTTTTAAATTTTTTAAGTTTGTGATAACTTTGTTTTGTACTTTTTGACCTATTGCCGTTTCAGTTGGTGCAGCGTATGGTCTTCCCATTCCTATTTGTATTTCTACTTTTTGATGTACGAGCATTTCTGGCCTTGATTTTACATACATTTCGGCATATTAATTGCTTTTGTCGTCCTGAAATCTTTCATGCTTTTCTTTAGTGTAAAATTTTTATTCAAGACCATGTCAAAGGACTGTTGTAACTTGAGTCAAATTTTTAGGAAAACTACGCTTGTCAAGTTAAAAAATTAGAATTTGAGCTTTTTATAAAAACAACGTCTTAATGGATCACTCACTTACTATTTTTTTACAATAAATTCTCATAATCTATGAGGCAAGAGAATCAGCGCAGAAATTTTTTTGGATTGCTCTGACCTAGGGAAAGTATAGAAAAAACTTTATAAAATGCAGTGCTGCCATCAACAAGAATTTAAATGGAAGCGTTCAGGAGGAAATTGATATCTTAAAATGTAGACCAAACAACATCAAGTTGAAATTGAAAAAGAGCAGTTTTATTTTTCTATGAGACTCAATGTAAATAATCAAAAACCTCTATTTTCTCCTCAACTTGGAATATGTAGTTAACAAGACAATTTGCTTGATAAACTCAAAACCACTTTTCTCTAAATTTCGTCCAAAATTCGGCTTCTTTCCTCCCTCGAAGAAATAATTCCTTAAACAGTCAAAAAATTCGCGGCTACTCATCGTCGGCCAAACAAAGTTCATTGTTGCTCTTACTTAACCCTTTTTTAAGCGGAAAGTCTACCTTCAAAACGCATTTTTTGGGGTTTTTTTTTGCATTTTCTTTTTATATTTGGATTCTGCTGAAATGAATGATGGATAAATTTTTTTTAAGTGCTCCAGACGTATTTTTAAGAATTTTTCAATGTTGCTTATTCCTAAAAATTAATGAGCATGTTTCCTCATCTGTTGATATTGAAAACTTTTCTTTTTAAGAGTTTTGGGATCTTGGACCAAGTGTAACTTCAGTTCTATTGCAGCTAGAAAGCTGTTTTTTTTTAAAAAAAAAGTACTCAGAATTTAATTTTCTACAACGTAGTATTGGTGTGTTTGCACATGTATTCAGTGATTATATGTAAATGACAAAAGTCTAAATGCACCTGAGAAAATATTGAGGCATGAAAAAAAAAAGTAATGAACAGAAATAATCCTCATTACTTAAAAATAATGGAAGTTGTAGAGTCAATATATCTGATTATTTAAAAAAATGAAAAAAATTGCTCTGAAAGTCTGAAAGGACTGAAGATACAGTTACTCTTAAAAACCTCCATTTTTGGGCTAAATTTCCTGCTCACCAGTGCCCAAATGGGTGAAAAGAGTTGAGAATTTACAGGAAGCTTACTCTGAAGTACTCTAACAAAAGTAGAATAGTAAAAAGGAAAAAAAGAAAAAAAGTTAAGTGTACAGGGGAAAAAAGTGTTTTAAGGTAGACTACCCTCTTAGCTCTATTCTTGTCACAGGTCGTTCTTGCTTAATAAAAAGGAGCTCCATCCATAAAAATTAAAAATTCAGTGAATACAAGAACAATAAATCAGGTCCAATCTGTCACACTTGGAGAGCTGCAAGTTTTGCTAATGGGTAGCTTGTATTATTTACATATCGATGGAGAAAGAGCTAAACCACGCATCTCCGTTTGCAATGTTGCAAACTCGCTGTCATACTTTATTTTTTCTTTGGTAAACTACTTATATCAATGTAATTTCGCGAAAACTTCTCTGATTATTTTTACCAAAAAAAGAGTGTAGTTGATTTAACATTCTAGATGTAAAAAAAGTGTGCGAGAACTTGTAAATTGCTGAATTACCTGCCACAGTAGGTAGTTAGATTTGCATCTTGGCATTGCTAGAGTAACTGCTTTAGCGGGTAATTCAGTATTTTTTAAGTTCTAGTACACTTTTTTTTACATACAGAATGTTGAATCAACTTCACTTTTTTTTCGGTGTTATTTTCTCTCCTAACAGAATTCTGTACCCATTCATTTCAAGGTATCAAGTTGCCTTATCTCTCTTCGAAAATGTTGAAACACTGCAATTAATGGAGATGCGTTTTCTAGCGTTTTAGCCTTTTAAGTAGGTACTCAAGTTCCGTATAAATTTCCTTTTTCGGACTACATTTTGCAATTTAGAACTACAATATCTGGCTCATCTGTAAAAACACTTGTTTGCACAGGGAATTTAAACTACTTAATAGCACATACGTCGTTTTTAAACTAAGCCAGATATTGTAGTCCCGACTTACAAAATGTGGTCCAATTAAACATAAGTATCTTAACCACGATGTAAATTTTATCTACGGTGAAATTCCCAAACCGCGTATCTCGCTTGGGGTGGTTTAAAACCTCCGCTCCAATATCATTTTTTTAAATGAGAACTAATCAACATAAATCCTTGAAGATTTCCCAGAATTTTCTTCATATAGCACAGAAAAATCACGGAGGGGTTGAAGAATTGATATTGAGTCGTTTTTAATTTAGAAGATAAGGTATATGGGTATGACAGAAAGTCTGTAACTGCGCAAACCGAGATACGTGGTTTAGGAGTTTCACCGTCGCTATGAGGCCAGTGGCGACTCTTGAAAGTTGGCAACACTGCTTTTCCTCCATTTAAATGTATGTAAAACAATCGATTCCTGCGGCTCGATTGTTGAATCGATATCGAATGACTTTGATCAATAAACAGCATGGCTCAGGGTCATTCGATAACGCGGATTCCACAATCGACCCGCTGGCGAGGCAGCTTAATTGCCTCATCTAAAATCGATATTTTTAATGGATGTAAATGGAGGAAGATTAGCGTTGCCAACCTGCAAAATGGCCACTGTATAACCCTACTGGAAAGGAGCTAAGTATTCAAGGGACGACCATAAATCGTCGCTCCTCTGACGTAGGTATGAGCCCCAGAAAATATGGATTTATATGTAAGACAGGGCTCCCGTGAAAATTGAGATACGCTCTTACGTCAGAGGAACGACGAAATACGGCGTTAAGTGCATCTAAATTAATTGTTTTAACCTAAGTTAATAATTTTCATCTAAAAAGGTAAAATAATCACAGGAGATATTCTCATGGCGTCGACGCCCTTCTCCGGAAGCGGAGCCATACTTTTTCAGCAGGCTGTACCGTGAATGAATTCGTGTCGAATGTGATCTTTTTCGGTGTCTTGGGGGTTGTATGAATTTCGTATTTCGAAACCAACCTAACCATCATCATCTTCACATCCATCAATGCCAGTCGCATCGCTGAAACATTCGTTCGAAGTTGATCAAATCACATGTTTACAATAAAATAGGTGAAGAGTATTACGCTGCGGCTCGGGGTGTTTCAGGTGATTCGATGGCCGGAGGATTTTGAGTCAAAACGAGTCAAACGACTTGCGATATACCGCATCGATTAGCTCTGTGTTTTCAGATAACTATCAATCTTCTTGTATTTTGAGATCGCATTTATGTTTTCACGAGACTAAAGAAGTTAGGTAATCATCAATTTTGATTTACAAATTCAGTGGAATTAAGGCAGGGGTTTCTTTTTTCCGGAAAAATATACCGTTCGGTCGAAATCTCAGGCGAATGTGACGTTTTTCCTTTTAAAAAATCCTGCCTTACGTACCTACTCACGTTGAATTTGTCAATCTTTGGCAAGTAAATTCTTTAATCACGTGACGACAGAAATGCAATTACGCGAAATGATTTGTCAAATCGCGATTTAATCAGAGTCGTTTAATTATTTGGTTACTTAAATCGATTTTTTTTTTTTTTTTTTTTTTTTTTTTTTTTTTTTTTTTTTTTTTTAACAATTTGGCTTTCGACCGGTCTAATTGCGATGAGACCACGTCGTTTAGCGATTCCTCTGCCAGGCCTTTAGGTCAAATCTTAACATGGCAGAGATCATTGAGGAATAAAGGCAGGGAAGGGATATGGTAAAAAAGAAGAAAGCGCAGCCCATGCCTCTTCAAATTTGAACGGGATTAGCAAGCTAATTGAAATACAAATTAGGGAAAGGGGGGGGGGAGGAGAAAATCTGTTGTGACACGATCAAATCGAGCCATCAAATCTTCAAAATCAGGTCTTGTGATTGACTTCCCTGATGACTTTGGCCAATCACAGCATTTGATCTTGATACATGAGCTGATGATTCTCACCTATGCAAAGTCTAGGCCCGTCTCCGAAAGGCAAATAGGTCCCGGGGAGGATTTTTTCCTTGTTCTCTTCGGAAAAGCGCTCCGGGTCGAATTTTTCGGGCTCGGGAAAATATCGAGGGTCCGTTTGGAGGCCGTAGGAGGAGACGAAGACCTTGGTCCCTTTCTCGATGACGACATCCGAGTCTGGTAACTTGAAAGGCTCCGTGCACGTCCGCACCAAAATCCCCGACGCCGGGTACAGTCGCAGCGTCTCTGAACAGAGAAAACATACTCTCTGAAACCCAAATTACATTGCAAACCCAAGAGCATAATCGCCACCATCGCCCCAAACAAACTTCTCTTGCTCACATCCAAAGAGCCTCCCAAAAAAGAGGCTAATTTTGGCCCCTTTTTAGGTATTCGATTCGACCATCGGACCAAGGTTTAAATGGAAGCTCATATTAACAGAAAACTCAGGAAAAATTTTCAAGATGAGTATAGGAACCGTTTTCGAGTTACGGGGGGGCAAAGGGGTCACAATCCGGCCTAATTTTTTGCTGTTTTCTTGTAGAATTGATGTATTGGCGGGGTTCTTATCGTTGTTTACGCATGTGTAGCACATGGATTCCTACGTGCTTTTACACGTAAAATCGATTTTAACGTTGCCGAATCGATATACTGATCAGTTAAATCGATTTTGAACGATTTATTAAGGAAAATCGATGATTTTTCAGGATCGAAATTGTTTATTTTCGATTCATGAATGAATAAATGCACCTGAAATGACTGAAGCACACGTGACCCTATGTATCTTGATACGTAGAATTGATTTTTAACGTTGACGAATCGATTTATCTATAGTTTGTATCGAATTTTTGCGATTTTTACGGAAAATCGATGACTTTTCGGAATTAAAATCGGGTTTGCTTCATCCGAGATCGGAGATATGTACCCAACATGATTGGAGCACATTGACTCTTACGTATTTTTATACGTAGAATCGATCTATAACCTCGATAAGTCGATATATCGATCAATTGTATTGAATTTTTGCGATTTTTGGAGGAAAATCGATGGTTTATCGGGATTGAGATCGGTGTCTCTCCATCCAAGATCGGAGAAATGTACCCTTTATGATTGGAGCACATCAATTCTTACGTATTTCTACACGTAGAATCAATTTTAAACGTCGACGAGTCGATATATCGATCTGACATACCACAACTCTTGCGATTTTTTACGAATATTCGATGGTTCTTTTGGACTGGCATTGGAAACATCTACCAGATATGACTGGAGCACATCGGTTCGTTTGTGATTATTCTCGCAAAATCAATTTTTAAGAAGTCGACGAGTCGATACATTGGCTGGTCATATTGACTTCTTGTGATTTTTATGGAAAATCGATTTTTTGAACAGGAATGAAATTGGTTACTAACGGCCCGAGGGTGGAGATATGCACCTGACACGGTCGGAGCACGCCGTTTCCACGTACTTTTACACGTAGAATAATTTTTAAGGTTGGACACCGATCTCAATCCCGATAAACCATCGATTTTCCTCCAAAAATCGCAAAAATTCAATACAATTGATCGATATATCGACTTATCGAGGTTATAGATCGATTCTACGTATAAAAATACGTAAGAGTCAATGTGCTCCAATCATGTTGGGTACATATCTCCGATCTCGGATGAAGCAAACCCGATTTTAATTCCGAAAAGTCATCGATTTTCCGTAAAAATCGCAAAAATTCGATACAAACTATAGATAAATCGATTCGTCAACGTTAAAAATCAATTCTACGTATCAAGATACATAGGGTCACGTGTGCTTCAGTCATTTCAGGTGCATTTATTCATTCATGAATCGAAAATAAACAATTTCGATCCTGAAAAATCATCGATTTTCCTTAATAAATCGTTCAAAATCGATTTAACTGATCAGTATATCGATTCGGCAACGTTAAAATCGATTTTACGTGTAAAAGCACGTAGGAATCCATGTGCTACACATGCGTAAACAACGATAAGAACCCCGCCAATACATCAATTCTACAAGAAAACAGCAAAAAATTAGGCCGGATTGTGACCCCTTTGCCCCCCCGTAACTCGAAAACGGTTCCTATACTCATCTTGAAAATTTTTCCTGAGTTTTCTGTTAATATGAGCTTCCATTTAAACCTTGGTCCGATGGTCGAATCGAATACCTAAAAAGGGGCCAAATTTTGGGAGGCTCTTTAGGTGACTCGTCCCGGTTTCTGCTACGCTCCACGTACCTCCAACGTGCCATTTGTCGTATCGATCAAGTAAAGAATCTCGGCAGATTTTCCATTTTTAGCCAAGGAAAGAACTCATGTCCCCTGTGCATGAGCCTGCATAATCATTCTCAACCAAACAATTGGAAAAATTGAGAGAAATGAACGCAGGATTCATTCTGGGGAAAACCTCGCATTTGATAGAGAAATCGACTTCTGATCCACCAAGTGCGCGGGTTATCCCTTAAACGAATCCTGCTTTCATTTCCTTTAAGTTGTTTGTCACGCCGGCCATAAACGAACTCAAATATCGATGGTTCCACGCGAAAAGGAGCTTATTTACCTCGATTACAAAGTTGCAAACCTCGGTTAATGCTTCACATGCATTCATTATTTTTCAAAAGATACGCGCTGATTCTCCGAAAAATTTAAAATAATTTTCGAACGATTTTTATTTGAAATCACGGGAAAGTTAGTTGCGACAATATATTTCATCCTATTTTCCTTTTTTTTTTACCGAAAAAAAAACCGGGTCCTGAATTCTATAACGTAGGTATTAGGGTAGTTATTCTGGTTTTTTTTTTTTACGGTGGAAATTAGAAGAAAGTCATAAATAATGACGCGTCGTCTAAGTGTCGCATCGATTTTAGCGTTCGCCCAACCAGGGAAGCTCGGCAGGGCGCACAACACATCTTCGCAGTTTCACGCGCCTTCCATCCGGCGGAGCTGCAACATGCTTACACCCGTGGTCAAATAGTTGCATGTCACGCCTGCCGTAAAGGAACTCAAATATCGATGGTTCCCCGCGGAAAGGAGCTTATTTACCTCGATTGCAACGTTGCAAACCACGGTTGATACTTCACTTTGATTCAATATTTGTCAAAAGAAACGCGCTGATTCTTTGAAAAATTTACTATAATTTTATGAACGATTTTAATTGAAATCACGGGAAAGTTCGTTGTGACTTCATATTAAGGCCTATTTTCCTTTTTTTCTTTTTATCGAAACAAAAACCGGATTCCCAGATTCTTAATCGTAGCTATTAAGATAGTTATTCTTTTTTTTTTTACGTTCGAAATTAGAAGAAAGTCATAAAAAATGACTCGTCTTCTAAGTGTCGTAGCGATTTTAGCGTTCGTCCAGCCAGCGAAGCTCGGCAGGGCGCACAAGACATCTTCGCAGTTCGACGCGCCTTCAATCCGGCGGAGCTGCAACATGCTTACATCCGTGGTCAAATAGTTGTATGTCACGCCTGCCGTAAAGGAACTCAAATATCGATGGTTCCACGCGAAAAGGAGCTTAATTACCTCGATTGCAACGCTGCAAACCACGGTTAATGCTTCAATATCATTCAATTTTTTTTGAACGATACGCACAGATTCTCTGAAAAATTTAAAATAATTTTACGAACGATTTTAATTGAAATCACGGGAAATTTCGTCGCGACATTATATTTAGTCCTATTTTCCTTTTTTTCTTTTTACCGATAAAAAAAACATGGTCCTAGATTCTATAACGTAGGTATTAGGGTAGTTATTCTTGTTTTTTTACGGTGAAAATTAGAAGAGAGTCATAAATAATGACGCGTCGTCTTAGTGTCGCAGAGATTTTAGCGTTCGTCCCACCAGCGAGGCTCGGCAGGGCGGTCGAGATATCTTCGCAGTTTGACGCGCCTTCAAGCCGGCGGAGCTGCAACATGGTTACATCCGTGGTCAATATTTGCCATTTTTTGGGTTGATAATGATCCTGCAGGCTCATGTGCAAGGGAAATTGTCTTTTTTTGCTTTTTTTTTGCAAAAAATTCAAAATTTGCCGAGATTTTTTACTTGAGCAATACGAAATATCGAGTGCCGGGTCGACTACAAAACCGGCGGAATCACTTAAATTAAAACTCACTGCCAATCTAGAGCATCTTCAATACCTTCATGGTTCGGACTTAGACAATACTAACCTTAAAATTTTAGACAATATCTTAGACATCCCGCTCTAAGACACTATGAGCAATGTAATCGAGTGAGGCAAAAGTTGAATTCGGAGGCCAACGCTATATTTCGCCTTTATGGTGGTTGATGAGCAAAAGCAGGAATATATTTTAGCTCCTTTAGTGTACGCAGGGTCCTGCAATCTTAATTTATTGTGTACACACTATTAAATTATGTGGTTACACTTTCTTCCCTAAATAAAGGAAATAGTTAGCAGTTTTTTTTACTAAAATTCAGCGGATCGCCATAATTTTCGCCAAAAGTAAGCACATAGTATCTAGGAACAATGCACTTCCAATACTTCTACTTATAACAATTAAAAAATATGTAAATACAGAGAGGAACATTGGTCGGATTTTATGTGATTTTTATTTTTTTTAAATATTTTAAATGATGGAAAAAATATAAAGTGTACAAAATCTTCAAAATCATGGTTGGAAAACGATAACTCCGCAAGTCTGAATTATCGCACCAAAAACAGTGTGGCTGGCGCGAAACTCTTGTAAGCGCCTACAAGACTGTAGGAATACTTGACGCATTGCGCCAAAGACAGTGTGACCAGCGCGGCGCGATTAGCGCCTACAAGACTGCAGGAATACTTGACGCATTGCACGCTCACCGTGGTGCGCGCTCGTTGTGAATTCGTCATTTCTCGGTGTCTCTTTGCAGTTTGGCCATAGATCGGTTTAAAAAATATCACATTTAAAATATTGTGTCGTGGCTATAGGGATGATTTAACTCACCATCAATAACTTGGTTGGCATATTTAAATTCCTTCAAATTTTCGTATTCAATGTCATCACCCAATTTTTCTTTCACAGCTAAAATTTCCTCGTGGAGTTTGGCTTGAACCTGAGGATGCCGCGCCAGCTCGTATAGACAGAAAGTTAGTGCCGCCGCGGTAGGTTCGTAGCCCGCCGAGAAGAATGATCCAATCACTCCACCGATGATATTGTCCGTGAAAACAAGTTCTAGAAGCCAAAAAGCAACATTATGAGCGTCATGTCAGTTGGGAAAGCTACGAAAAGGAGACGGCATGGTTTCATTCTCAGAGATAGATTGCAGGCAAACACAACATACAATTGTCCGAATATTTTCAGAATCGAATTTTGGGATCAAAATAATTTTTTTTGTATCAGGTACAACATTTTCCAACCTCTCTCTCAGAGTTACAGTCCCTCCCGGAAAATTTGCGTCAATTATCATTTCGGTTTTTCCCAGGTCAATTATTTGTTCAACGTGTAAAGGAATAAAGAAATGTCACTGTTCTTGGATTTTTATTCATAGCTGTCATAACAACCAAGAAAAAACGAGTTTTTGGTCCAAACTTTAAGGGACTGAAGGTTTAAATGGCATAACAATTGATATATCGCAAAGCACGCCACGCCACTAACGTTGAGTGAACATTTTTCAAATTTTTCACATTTTTTTTTACACAGATCCTTAAAATCCGAAAAACCTCTAAAAAGAATACTTTGAATTTTTTCGCTCTCGCTCGTTAGAAATCTTGACAATGATGTATGGACAGTTACATAGTCAACTTGGAGAAACATCAATAAACTTTGTTAATAACTTGTAAGCCATGGTAATTTTCCCTCTCGGTGTGAAGATTATCGTGAGAAAAGTCAAGTCATTACGATGCTTCGGTTGACTTCTAAAAAGCAAAATAGGAGCAAAGATTTTGAAACACTGCAATTACGATACGCGATTTTGGAGTTGACGACCTGTTTTTATGATAAGATGGTGATCATCTCACCGGTATCATTTCCTGCGTCAGTCTTGGATGCCTTTTCAGATTTTTGGAAGTCGATGAGAATTTGGAGAAAATCCGTGCGGGCAGCTGCTTCGCTTTCTTTAAGTGAAGCTGCCTCTTTAATGGCCTCCCTGAAAAAGTTCTCAACTTCGGGTCGCACAGCTTTCCATTTAAGAAGAACAGGAAGTTTCGGGTGCAGTAAATCCAAAAGAGTGAAGATCATTCGCCTCGCATCAAATCTGAGATGAGAAAATGGATTTTTAAAAGTAAAGAAGAGAGATCATTCAATCATACTAAAAGTAAAACGGATATGCCCATTCCCCAGGTGCATGAAAGTCTATACCCCAAGTAGCATTTTGCAACGAAAAAATTGCAATTTAAATGAAATAAAATTTCCAGATGATTTCAACTTTCTTGCAAGAAAATTGCAATTATTTTACAACATCTGACCCCCTCATTGTAAAAAAGTTGCAATTTTTTTTTTTGCAAAGAAATTTAAATATTGACGACCTTTAAATTTCAACCCCTAAATTTTCCGGGGAAATTATAATAATTCGAACCCATGCTTACCTAATGTCCTACGACGTTTAGCAGCATAAAATACCGGACGCCCTTGAGTGGGCTTGAACCCGACCCGCGAATGTCATAGCGGAGCACTCTTCCACTGAGCTACAGGGAGCTGATGATGAGCTGGGTTGAAATCACGCCTGTTAAGGCTGTTATCGCATGCATTGCGTCAGTGCGTGGCTCAACATTCATCATAGATTTGATTAACGCCGTTTTTCTCAGGCTTCTTTCTTTTGCCTTTTATTTATTTTTTTTTCGTGTTATTTATTTTTTTTCATATTTTTTTTGTCTGATTTTTTTTTCGATATCACGTAATAGGTACTCACACTAAATTTACACCGGTGTAAATTACACCACATACTAACTTGAGAACTTAAAAATATTTTCAAAAAATATTTTTAAAATATTTTCAAAACTTTCTTAAGGAATATTTTTAACATGCATGTTTACAGGCAATATTTTTGAATTATTTTAAAAATATTTTTTGTAAACATTTTCAAAATATTCCTTTAAAATGTTTTAAAAATATTTTGAAAATATCTTTATTACAATATTGCCATGAAAATATTTTGATAAAGGTGACAATATTTTCAAAATATGTTGGGCTATATGGGTTAGGTGAGACATTTAAGTCGAAAAAACTTTGAAACAACTAGAGAATTGGATGCCAGGCACATGGCGTGAATTTGTTACAACATGATTGCACCGAAATTGCAGTCTTTATAGTACCTTGAAAAAGAAGGCTAGGCAACAAGCATAATCTACATTTCTTGCAAACTTATTGCAATAAAATTGCAACTTTTTAAGCGCCTTCAAATGAACGTATAGGCAACAAGCAAAAATTGCAATCAACTCACAATCCATTGCAATGAAATTGCAATCCATGCTACTTGGGACATTGCGAAATGCAATACAATCCATACTGGATAAAAAAGTATCTTGGATCCCGAGGTCAGACTCATAAAAAAATTTCAAGAAAAATACTCTTGATTCCATCGGATTTTTGCTTGAATCGAAAGCCAAACCTCTTAATTTAAGCGGACCTCCTTTCGATTCAAGCAAAAATCCGATTGCATCGAGAGTATTATTTCTTGTCAAATTTTTCAAGAGTTGGACTCAGGATTCAAGAGCCTCTTTTTTTCGGTGCATATAAAAGCCCCTAAAATAGCGGATTAAAATTAATCTCATCCCAAAAACTACAAAACTTGAACTATTTTTTTTTCGAAAAATATTTCCAGGTTTTCTGATCAGCAGCCTGATTGTTGAAATTTTTTGTTTGTCGGGATGATATAGATGACATAGGTTAAAAGGCGGAGCGAGATTGGTCGGCTATGTCTTATCGCTGCTTTGTCGTGCCTTTGTCAGGTGGAATGGACAACATATTGTCTGCAACTTAAGAGGTGCCGTTAGCTTGTCGTGAGTTCAACCCGTCATAGGCATACGACAAAGCAGCGATAAGACATAGCCAACCTATCACGCTCCGCCTTTTAACCTATAATGTCATCTATGTCGTCCCGACAAACAAGTATTTCAACTATCAGGCTGCTCAAAATGGACTCAAGACTCAGGAGACTCAAAATGGTCATAGTTCTGATTTTAATTTTACTCTTTGAAACGCTTTTTTTACTCCATTTCTTTCTTTTTGGGTTTTTTGAGCCCAAGGTCTGAGGTGGGTGGTCACTTGTCACTGGAAAAAAAGTAGCTTGGATCTAGAGTCCAGACTCTAAAAAACATTGACAAGAAAAAATACATCTGATTTAATCGGACTTTTGCGTAAATCGAGAGCCAAGCCTCTGAATTCAAGCGGATTTCTTTTTGATTCAAGCAAAAATCCGATTGAATCAAGAGTATTTTTTCTTGTCATTGTTTTCAAGAGTCTGGACTCTAAAGTCAAGCGACTTTTTTTTTCCAAAGATGGCGCTTATTGGGTGATAAAATGCCATGAAATGGCGGCCTAACCTGAAGAAATCCCTGGAGAGCCTCTTAAACTCGGTTTCCTCATCGTGGATGGAGTCGCACTTAATCCCCATGGCGCAAGCCCCGATGACCTCAAGAGTGTAGTTGGACATAACCTTGAACGCATCGAATTCAACATCTCCTTTATCACCGATGGCTCTCTCCATGTAGGCATCCATCTCCCGGGCGCAGTCCTTCAGGCTGTGGAACATGTTCTTCAGCTTGGCTGTGCTGAAGGCTGTCGCCGTCTTGTGACGTACTTGCCGCCATTTCTCTCCGTTTAAGGTGAAAAGGTGGTTTGACAGGGGATCCAATGTTGTGTCCGGTGACTTCAACCTGAAAATAAAAATAAGAGATACACCGTCTCTCAAAGTTATAAGTGAATATTTTTAGAATTAATTTTTCGCATCAAAATTAGGATTGTTTTTGTCTTGTAACTTTTTCTTAAAAAGTCCTCCCTCCTTCTCACAGTTCGAAGTTTTGGCAAACAACTCGTAATGACAGTTTGAAATGAAAATGCATGGAAATTGGCATTTTATGTTCTTTTTCACGCTGAATACATTTTGACCTCACAATCAAAGCAGGATAATATTTTCAAGGTACTTCTGGGGGAGGAACTGTAACTCTGAAGGGGCTCGTCACATATTCATTCTGCTTATTTTAAAATAAAAAATTTTGTTCTTTTGCATATTCTTCTCTTTTTTTTTCATTTTAACATTAGTTTTGAAATGGTCAACTCATTCAAATTGTCCAAATCACTTTTCCGGTAAAAATATGAATTAAACAAATCTAATCACGTATTTTCAAACTTTTGTTGATCTCTTCCCGTCGTATTACAGCGAAATATTTCCTTAAGAAACCGCATTTTTTTCAAGCTGTTTCCTCAGCGTTTTCTCGATGTTTAGAAAATGAGAGGGGGGGGATTCAGGCCATCGTCACGTAATTCAACAAAATAGAAATAAAAACGAATAAAAATTGGGGGTTACGAATGCGTTACAAGGGGAAAGTGGAAAAAATCGTATCAAAAAGTGCGTTTTGTTCAGCAGTGCCGTGCTAAGGAAGAACGCCGTAAGAACATTCGAGAGTTGCCAAGTTTTCTTCGATAAAACCGAATTTACTGAGAAAATTAAGGATATTTTCCCCCAAAATTTTCAGACTATTTTGTACGCAATTTAATCTAAAATATCTGAAACTTTAAAAAAAAATGTGCGTCAATATCGTCAAAAATACAAGTCTTATTGAGGAAAAAAAGGCGACTCTCGAATGTTCACACGGGGTTTTCCCTCAGCACGGCAGAGCAGAAATACGTGCAATTATGGTAATATTCTGGGATGAATTTCAAACCTGCCAGAGAAGCTGGAGAAGCTCTTGACTAGGACGATCCTGGCAAGTTCGGGGTCGCGGACGACCAAAATAGGCTTGGTAAGTTCCAAAGAGCCCACGTAGGGGTGTCCATCGAAGGCCTTGTACACGCGGTAGAAGTTGTCGGTGAAGGAGTCCATTCGGAGGACAAGCCGGAAGGTGCGCACGATGCTCTGTGCGGGGCTCTGGCACGGGACGCCTCGCTTGCTCCAGTAGTGGAATTTGTCCCGGTAAACGTAGAGCAGGTAAACCATGACACTCAAGAAAAGCAGGACCGAGTGAGTGTCCATGGCTGACTTAACTATTTCCAACAGTTCCATTGCTCGAGGTTAAATCTGCAAAAAGGATATCCACAATTAAATCCAAACGTCTTAGCTGAGTGGACTAACGGCCAAGGTGCCAATTTAAGCAGACATGTTTCCAAACTATGGAGAATCTGCACAAAAACATTTTATTGCTTCATCTGAGAGTGCCTAATGAGCTGAGTTCGCAGCATTTTTCATACTTTTTTTTCTGACATGGGAAATTGGAGAAAAATAGATTTGAAAGTGAGAAAATGTGCCGCGTTATGACGTCAGTTGGCGGCATTTTCCATTTAAACATATGTATTTCAGCAAATTAGGTAATTTTATCACATTTTCTCCAATATTTGTTCGATTTTAAAACCAAGGATATCGTCGTGCTCAGTCTTCCTAGCATCAGGTATAATTTTCAAGATGAAAGTCACAAAATTTAGGACACCTGCAAATTCTATATTATCCGTCCGTCTGTTTGGTTCCTTATCTGGATTGATAGAGGTACGGTTCTATCAGAGGAAACGGTGCACCAAAATTCGTCTACAGTTCCGCAGAAAACAATCAGGCAGCGCACATTACGACGCAGGCAGGTTTCACTTAAATACTGCTGCGCCTCGGTTCAAAGAATAATTAAGGACGTCACGCGATGTTCAGCAGTCAGGTCAGTATTAGTTTCATTTCGAGTGCACACCTTTGACAAGTTTTACCCTGCGTTGACGAGATAAAGGAGAAGTGGTAAAAAATACGAGCGTGCAGATTAGTCGGTCCACTTGAATCATGTATTACATAACATATTTACAGAAAACTTACAGCCTGCGCCTGTCGAACAGTAATTGCGAGGCGTGAATGATCGATTATCGATGTTTCCCCGTTTGAAGCTGTGGTAAGGAATCGATTATTAAGGCGTTTGTTGTGAACACCCTCTTCTATAGCTTTAAATGGCAGATCAATCAATATATCCCAAAGTACGCTGCCACGCCACTGCTGTTGAACTTCAAGTTTCAGGATTTATTTCTCATGCGGGGGAGTTTACCTATTTTAGACATTGGAAATGCCCTCATCGTTAATTTGAGCCATTCCCCTCTCCCATATGAATTAATCCTTGTTTCTACTCCACTTGATCAAGTTTGCAACTGACTCATTATCAGTTAATATCAGGTCTGCACTGTTAAAAATTTCGAAGTGAAATCCTGTAATGGAATCTATGTAGCGCCCCAAACCCCCGAGTGACATGAATGCAGAGACACTTTTATGCAGCGAAATCTACTCTTTTTGCGGGGTGTCATATACGCTTTTACGGTGCTAATTCCACTTCGTATCCATATAACTTGGTGTTTTTGGGCGCTATATAGACTCCAGCGCCGATTTTTACACATCGATTTTGAACTGATGTGTTCCAAGTGGAGAGGATTATAAGTAAAGCAGCTTTTTGTACAGGACCCGAGTGTAAAATATCCCAGTCTGAGAGTTTCTTATGGACGGAACATTACAAAAACAAATTGTTCTAAAAGGTATTTTTTTATATTTATTTTTAATTCAATGGGACGAATTAATCTATTGTTTCGCAATGCTCAATTGGTGGTCGTACAAGCAGGGTTGCAAAAATTCATAAAATTTAAAATTATCAAGTTTCAAGGGGAACATCTGTGGAAATTCCCAACATTATGATATAAAATGAAACATAGTTTTTTAGTACGCATCATCAGCCAAAGCTGAATAATCTTATACAGCCGCTAACATCGTTTTGAAGCATCCTTATTCCTCATACCATTTTTTACCACTCTTGGTGCACATATCGACGGTGTAAGTCGGTAACTCGGTTTGCGACGTCGCGTTGCAGACTTCCTGTCATACTTTATTTTTTAAACGGAATACTACTCAACGGGAATTCTTTAAAACTGCCGTGATTTTTCTTCTCTGTGCGAAAAAAATTCGGCAAAAACTTCAGGGAACGATGCCAATTTGTTCTCCGTCAAAAGATTCATGTAGATGCGGAGATTTTCGGACACCGCAAACGAGTAATATGTGATTGCCGACTTACACCGTCGATATGAGGAAAAGGGGTACAAATCCAAAATTAAGAGGCGNGGGGGGGGGGGGGGGGGGAGGAATAGGATTTCCTTGTGTTGTCGTGTATTTTTAGTGCGCATTTTATTTTTAGTGTCAAAAATTTCACCATCATTTGAGACCTCATGAAATATTCCACAAAAAATTCCAATCATTCATCAGTTTATTTTGTTCCATGTCACCCTCCTTACGAAGGATTAAAAGTCAGCCACTCGAGACTGCCTGAATAATACTGCCTTATTGCTTAGGAAAAACGCCGCATGTACCCTCAGGCGTTACCAAGTTTCCTTTGATATAACACGAATATCCTGGTAAACTCATAAATATTTTCCTTTCAATTTTTCAGATAATTTTGTTCGCAATTCCACCTTAAATTCCTGAAAATTTCAAGGAAAAGTTTTCTTATTCTTCCTGAAAAATAAGCATTTAATTGAAGGGAATTTGGCAACTCTCGAATGTTCATACGGCGTTTTCCCTTAGCACGGCAGAATAGCAGGCAGCGCCGCCTACACGAGTAACAGCTAATAGAGCGCAGGCGATACAGCTCGGAGCGCCTTCAATTCTTAACGTATGCAACGAGGACATCCTTTGAACACGAATAGTTGCATCCAGGCGTTAACATACCATTGCGGCGCACAGTGGGCCGAGTCAATCAGGGAGGTCGGACATGAAATTTTAACTAAAATTGAGAATTTTTGTGTTCATTTCGTCACATTTTAAATTTCAAGGGATGTCTCCAGATGAAAATTTTACGAGAAAACCAATGAAATCACTTTCGGAACCTCAAAAGTTTGTATAAACGGAGTTATAGGCGTTTGAAGATTCCAAATTTTGTCGAACCTCTATTGACTCGATTCATTGTACGGCGAGTCCATCGCTGCCATGTGAAGGAAAAACGCCGAACCGAACGTTAAAATAATATCCGAACGTTGCCAAATTTCCTCTGATAAAGGTTTATTTCCAATATATACGACATGGATATTTTTCTTCCAAAGGCTCCGTTAAATTATAGATCGCACTGTAAATGATTTCGTGAAAATTTTGTGGTAAATTATGCATAAAATATTGAGAAAATCACGTATCTACTAATAAGGTTTTGACAACGCCATATTTTCCATACGACGTTTTTCTTTCAGCAAGGCAGATCGGTAAAACGAATGCCGACGGTCGAAAAACACGTTCCTTGTTCGTTACATTAAAATCTCCGCTGATCTTTTCTCAATTCCTCTGATAGTTTGTTTTCGGGGGAAATGTACACTTTAAACTTTGAAAATTTTCGTGATTCTCTTTAAATTTTAGTGGTAATATTTCGGAAAATTTCGATGCAAAGTCTATACTCAATTACTCAATAACTATCTAATATAACAATAAAATAATTTCATTTAAATTATTGAAACTTTGCATCACGAAGAGCAAGCATGAGCTTAAATCAGCACGTGACGTGAATAATCCCCTATTCCCGACCGTTTTTAATACCACAATAAGTGGACTGCATTTTGCACAAAGGAACCAAGAGCATTCCATTGTTGCTAGGATTGTGCGACTTACATACCTTGCGATAAAATTACTGAAACCTTACAAAAAAGTAAATTTACAGAGGTAATTTTTGTATTGAATTTATATTTCTTTGGAGTAAAAATAAAACTTGTTTAGGTGATCAGTTTATATTTGCAAGTTAGAAAAAGTTCCACAATCTAAGCGACATTAAAATGCTCTTGTGGTTCCTCTTTGCAAAATGGAATCCAACTGATCAACGAAGACTTCCCGTGGGCTGATTTTTGAAATTAGTAGACATAAAATGTAAAAGGACAATAGAGTAATCTTATCAGCTGAAACGGGTAGTAGTCCAGGCGCCTGGTAGCTAAAAATGAGGCTACCTGGAATTTTGGGTACACAGCGATTTTTTTGGCTTACTTTATGTTTTTTGGGTCGCTGAATCCGAATCTGAAGTTTCCGCACGCGTATCTGGTGAGCATTTTCCGCTATTTTGAAAAAATGGCCTAAAAAGGCCTTTTTTTGCGGTTTTTTTTATATAGCGGCTACGGATGAGGAAAAGTCCCGGATTTAGCTAATGTTTTGAATAGCTGACAAAATTTGGAAGAAAATGGTATATGAATATGCTAGGTTTGCTCAAAAATTGAGGAACCTCGGATTTCGGAACTTTAGAACGCTTCGGAACTTGGCTGACCGCGGCGAGCCGGATCGCGCGTTGACGGGTGCGCCGCGAAAACGTGAATAGGCGCGATGTTCACGATGCTGTATCTTCCTCAATTTTTAAGCAAACCTAACATATGTATACACCATTTTCTTCCAAATTATGTCAGCTATTCAAAACATTAGCTAAACCCGGGACTTTTCCTCATCCGTAGCCGCTATATAAAAAAAAACCGCAAAAAAAGGCCTTTTTAGGCCATTTTTTCAAAATAGCGGAAAATGCTCACCAGATACGCGTGCGGAAACTTCAGATTCGGATTCAGCGACCCAAAAAACATTAAGTAGGCCAAAAAAATCGCTGTGTACCCAAAATTCCAGGTAGACTTACCAGGCGCCTGGACTATAGATGTAATAGAGTAAGGGGGAAAAGATGCGAGAGGAACTGAAGCGTCTCTCGTGGATTCGCGTCAGTTAGTCTATTACTTATCCCCTTCGTTTACTACAACCACCCACCTCCATCAGCAGGATCCTTTTGTATTCCTTTCGTCTATCGCTTTGTCTATCAATTTCAATAACCAGCCCGCCGGAAAAGTTGACAGGCAGTAAATACGAGTGAGACACTATTGTCAGTAGAGTAATTAGTTCAAATAAGAAAACTATGAAGAATCCCACCAACCAGTCTACGCGTAGATAGTCATCCAAATTGATGTATTGAAAATGCGTGCGTAAAAATCACCTCAACAAACGGAAAAAAAACTAGCTCAGTTATAAAAACCGACGAACGCGGCAAAGCCTCGGCTGGGACTGATTGTAAGACGCAAATTCCGCATCTTGCGCATATTATTATTAGATCATGGGATATTAGTCACTTTTATTTTTCATGCGAGCGAACCACTCCGCATCTATTACGCAATGGATGCGATAGTTTGGAGACAGAGATAATTCACTCTTGTTGCGGGGAGATGCGTGGTCAAGGTCCTTCCTGCCATTCACCCGGACCGCCCCGGCGCACACTGTGGTATTTGACCGAAAAACCTGGCCAAAACCTCAATTTTAAATTTTTTTTTTAGTGGAAAACCAATGTGATATTCGAAATCTACACTGTTTTTTACTCTGGTAGACATGTATGTACCAGTTTGCGAGTGGCTCAATTTCCCGCGAAGAGACCACGAAGTTACCTATTTCTCAGCGATTATTTTGATAGGTATGTTTCGGCGCGCTACTCGTCGATCAGTTTACTTCAACTGTGCGATCATAGGAGGGAAGTTCGGCGATATGCAACACATTCTTAGGGGTATATTCTACACAACTAACCACAGTATATGGTATTGTCCACAGACACGTTAGAGACGCGTTAGGAGAAACGATTATCCACGACGGTGAAGACATATTGGTATCCTACCTGCAGCGCTCTGCGTTATATAGGACTTATTCGATCTCTGACTGGATCTACACTGCGTGCAAGCGGCGAAAAATTTGCGTCAGCCGAGCACTCGCGTCACGAGGTTAATTGAAAGTTATATGCAGGCCGACTCGAGGCCGCTGTAATGAGGCAATTAAAAATACTCGTCCGAGCTCGGCGCTTGCATCGGCGTCATGCATGGTTGCAACATCTAAATTTATTCTCTATTTTCGACTTGGTGAAATCTTCGATTAAAAGAGGGACCGAAGGCCCCTCCACCCGAGCGGTGCAGGGTGGACCCAGGAACCAATTGGCACCTAACCTAATAGGGGTGGGATGGCGGGCTATATCAACCTAACCTAACCTAACCTAACCTAACCTAACCTAACCTAACTTAGGTTGTCACTTTGTTAGGACGCGGACGTTACAAAGGAGATTTTAAAGATATACTGACAAGTATACTCTAGAGTCCCTTTATACTGAGAGTCAAGACAATTTGAATCCATTTCTGATTGGTTCCCGTATTTTAGGCCTCCACAGTGTCACAAACGGGAATAAAGATTACATTTTCACCAATTACAAAGATTATAATCTGGAATGGACCACGGAATTACGGGTTCGGCAAGGAACAAACGGAATGAGAGGAGGAACGGAGAGAGGCATTTGAGAATGGGCCGATCAAAGATTACGAAAAACGTTCAATTTCTGTAATCTTTATTCCCGTTTGTGACATCCATGAGCCGAATTGTCTTGACTCTCAGCATAAAGGGACTCTAGTATACTGGAGGAAGACGGATGTAGCTCTGTCTGTACTCTGAAAAGCCGAGGTAGTCGATGGCGCAAATATTGTTTGAAATAAGTAAACTTGCTCTCGGAGAGTAAACAGCTTTCTTAGCTCGGCAATCAAACCAGGCGGCTCGCCGCATCAAACACTCCCGTGTGCTCGCAACAAAGCCGGGGTTTCCAGTCGACACACACCTGGGAGCCGTGAGATCCTTGCCCAGTTGAGTTTTACGCTCGGCATGACAAGAGGGAATGACAACGAGATAACTTGTGGACACATTTCCAAAGTCCTAGAAGTATTGACTGTTTTTCAACTTTGAGGTAAAGTAGTTAAAATCTATGCGTGAGGAATGTTCTTTTTTAAAGCCCGGAAAAACCGGGACTCATCAAGGAGTGAAAGATTCTAGGGAAAATCAGGGAATGACTAGGGAATCTGTTGTCCTCCAATGGACCTGTGTCCTCAACTGCATGTACGATTTTTTGCTTAGTGCAGGTTGCATTTTACATGATACAACATGATTTGGTCATTTATGGTCTTGTTTAATATAATAAAATCAACGGGATTAACTTCATTAAAGTAGATAAAATAAAAAATCTTATTCACTCAAGTTTTCCACAGATTAAGATAAACCAAAAGTGAAAGGGAAACATTCCTAACAAGCCTGAAGGTCAATTTCGGCGAGAAACGTGGATTTTTCGGCATTCGACCGCAAACCCGCAAAACTAGCAATTTTCGCCAAAATTGGCCGCCAGATCTATGGTTAGGCCAGCGTTATAGACCCGAAAATAGACCAAAAATTACCGAAACATGATGCATTCTATAAAATACAGACCCTCAATGAGCAAAAAGTCGTAGAGTTAAGGGTATTCAAAGTGGGCCCAAAAGCGGCCCTCATGGACCCACTCATTTCTCTTTTTTGCCTTATTTTCCTTTTTCTTTGTCTCTCTTATTTCATCTATCTCCTCTTCATTATTTTCAAATCCGTCTTTTCCTTTCCTATTTTCTCCTCTGCTTTAATCTCTTATTTCCTATTCTTTCTCCTTTCTTCTTCTGTCTGTTCTTACTCCTCTTCTATCACTCGAATGTTCCCTATGCAGATGGCTTTTGCGGATGAGCCGAAAATAGTGTAGCCTTATCGCTAAATGTAAAGCGTTTCCAGGAATGAGTAAAATGGAGGACCTAATTGTCATTTTAAAGACTCCTCGGTATTCGGCGCATTAAGGTCAGTTTCCTCGTGGATGGTCACGAATGGTAACATTCAATGGAATGGAACGCTAGACAAGGTACGAATTTAAACGATCTGATACATGTTTCTTAGCCAGAATTTCACGTAGACTACGATTCACACAACGAAAATTACTGAAATCAACTCCTAACGAAGATATTAACGTTTTTATTTCACATTGGTTACGAGGAATTTGAACTGCCCGCTCACAAGAAACTCAAAGCTCTACGTGAGTCAAATCGCCCTCTACGGCGGTTTCAGCAAGCTTCTCAATCGAGCAATGTTCATTTCCCACCAGGGGCGGACTGGCCATGGGGGCGGGGAGGCGATCTCCCCCTAACAATTTGCCGCAGAGGTCCCGAAGGGGCCCCCGCGGCGAATTTTTTTCGAGTCATCGTTTTTTCCCCGTAATGTTGTGATTTTCTTATCCTTTTCAATCACTAAAAGACCCCGAATTCCTTGAAAATTTGTCTCTAAGAGACATGGAAGGTCACCAACAGCATTTGTGATGAAGGGACCCCCGATGAATCCTGAGAATGGGTTATTTTGAAGTTCAAGTACAGTAGAATCCAACTCCAATAATGCCTACATGTTTAAAAAAAATGAAATTTTCAAAATTAACCGGGGGAGGGCCCCCGGACCTTCTTAGGGGAGCCCCCGAACGACAGGAGGGGCCCTTACATTTAGGTCTCCTCCTAACTTTTCGACTACCAATCCGCCCCTGTGTGCCGTTACTATGCAGTTTTGACCGTTAAGGCCGTAGTTTGAGGCCTCTAAAGCCAGGATTGTATTTTGCAAACAGATAATTTTTGCAGAATAATTAAAAATTAAGAAGCAGGAGAAATTTACACTAAATAATAAACGGAACTCAAATCTACAGTATAATGCAAAGCAATTCGGAAAATCTCGTCATGTAAATACAGAAGATTCGCAAACGCCATCAATTGAAGCGTGATACCTCACGCGTTCCGGAGAGTTCAAATAGCTGTATCCCTGCGCCTTAGCAAGGCGATGGAAGTTCAATATTGAAGTAGCGACCTCGCGTTGTTTTTCGGTTTTCCTGTGCCGCTACTGTAGTTTCAACCGTTAAGGCCGTAGTTTAAGGGCATTAAAGCCAGGATTGTATTTCGCAAAAAGATAATTTTCGCAGAATAATTAAAAATTAAGAAGCAGGAATAATTTCACTAAATAACAAAAGGAACTGAAATCTACAATAAAATGCAAAAAACGAACGTAAATTAAGGGCGTTAAAGCCAGGGTTGTATTTCGCAAATGGATAGTTTTTGCAGAATAATTAAAAATTAAGGAGCTTGAGTAATTCAACTAAATAATAAAAGGAACTCAAATCTACAATATAATGCAAAACAATTTGGAAAATCTCGTCATTTAAATACAGAAGATTCGAAAACGCCTTCAATTGAGGCGTGATACCTCACGCGTTCCGGAGAGTTCAAATAGTTGTATCCCTGCGCCTTAGCAAGGCGATGGAAGTTTAATATTGAAGTAGCGTCCCCGCTTGGTTTTTCGGCTTTCCTGTGCCAATTCCCACCATGTGTTGTTCAAACTATTAGCAATTTGCTATAACTGAGCCAATGCGTAAAGATTGAGGTTGTCAGATTTTTATATCGCAGAGACTGTTATGATAACGTTTAGCGCGCGATGTGAATCACGTAGAGAATTGAGTTTTCATGAGCGGGTGGTTTGAATGCACGCATCAAGAATCATTAAATATCTTCGTAAGGAGTTAATTTCGGTAATTTTCGTTGTGTGCATCGTGTTTTACGTAAAATTTTGGTTAAGAAACATGTATCAGAATGCTGAAATTCGTACCTTATCTAGTGGTCCATTGCCATCAAAATGAGATCCAGGACCAAGAGTAAGTGAAGGGAGACCAAGTCGCGTGCCGGTTAATATCCTCGGAATCTTGTGAAAGATAAGCGTTAAATTTCCGCTTTAAGTGCCGGAGGAATATCCGAAGAAAAGGACCCTGTCTTTGTAAATAGCGCGCTTGAAAAATGGATTGGGACAAAAAAGATCCGAAGGAGAGAAAAGAAATCTAAAACGTTTCTCGTACCTTCCGCTTTGTTTTTACAAGCCTTTGTTTATGTTTTCCATCATTATGTCGTGTAATTGCTCCGAGAGTCTTGGGATTTCATCCTCTTCCTCTCCCCATTCCTCAAACGATGGCTGAATTGTAGAGTCTGATTTTGATTCGTTCGTCGCCTTCCTCCATATTGCTCTCAAAACGTCGAGCTTGTATCCTATCCTTGTGTTCTATCCTGTCCTAATCTACCTGAAATGGTAACCAATGGCGAGGCATGAATGATCGATTCTCGATATTTCTCCATTTGAAACAGTGGTAAACAATCGATGATCAAGGTGTTCGCTGCGAACACCCT